AAAGCCCTAATGATTCCCTTTGTCATTTTACACCTATGCAAAACATTTTTGCTTGGTCAATAGGCATTAGGTTTGCAAACCTTATCTCTCACTAGACATCATTTTCAATGAAAGATACTACCAAGTTGTAAAAGTCTTTTGGATCTATTCTCTAATTGAAAGTAGATGCATCAACTTTGGCTTTCCAAATTATAAACTCCTTAATATCATAAGTTTGTCTCTTATGCTTGTCATAATTTTCATTAGTGCATCCTCTGACCTCCATCTTGAGTGTTTCTTTCATGGCAAGTTTCTCATCTCCTAACAATATTTTGAATAGTTCTTCATTAAGGTTTGACTTGTAATCTAATTCTTGTGGACGTATTCAGTCAAATTCAACGGTGACATGTCACTCATTAATTTATTTTATTGCAATATTCTGTTGATCATAGTTTGTGAGTAACTTTCTTAATTGATTTTGCAAGATAGTTAAAACATCGTCATTATGGTGATCATTTAACTAATCCTGATAATTAGCCCTTTTTACTTGACTCTACTACCAACTTGATGTAAGACAATTAAGGGTCTAGGGTTAAAATGTAGCATAAGATGAGATGCACGATAAAAACAAATGAAAAACTTGAATTTGTGGGTTGTCAGTCCTCAACGTAGGTAAGAAAATTAATCACTTCAAATGTAGAAAATAATATAAAGGCTTCTTTCATTCTAAAAGATTATTTACTAGTCGCCAAAATCTAAAATTCCAAAAGGAAAATAATAAATAAATATAAAATTTCACCAACGCCCAAGTCCACATCAACAAAAAGAATATAGCATACATTACTTGAAAAGAGTCCAATCGTGCACACAAACCAATGACTAACAAATTAAAGTAAGGACAATGATAGAACTAAATGGAATATCAAGGTCACATGCTGGTATAAGGAAACTCGTACCAAAAGTAGTCGTTAACACTTAACACCGGTGAAATACACTGTTGACCTCCATCAAACTAACATGCACAAAAGAATTGAAGCAAACGAGAATTTTATTGCAATACTCAATGTTCTTTCTCTTTTACATGTCTTGAAAGTTCTATAGTTCTATTGATAGAACTCTGAAAACCCAAAGGAGCCCACATACACGAAGAATACACATCAAACTAACATGCACAAAAGAATTGAAGCAAACGAGAATTTTATTGCAATACTCAATGTTCTTTCTCTTTTACATGTCTTGAAAGTTCTATAGTTCTATTGATAGAACTCTGAAAACCCAAAATGAATCAATTCTCAAAATTCACCTTTAGTTCTCATCAACTCTTGCATGTTATGACCTGATCTGAGTACCGATCCAATTATCTTGGTAAATGTGTTAACTTACACATTCAAAGATTCGACCAAAACCAATTATATAAAGGTGGGTTGAATTAAAGTTGAGGTCACCCGATCCATTTAAACCCTATATGTATATGCATATGTTTATATAAACTTGTTACAAAATTCTAGTGAATTAAGGATACCAAAAAAAAAAAAAAGCTAACCCTCAGGCCTTCATTGTTAGCTTTTCATGAATCTTTATTTATTGAAAATTTCATTGTATCAACTTGTTAGAAAAGATAGTAAAAACCATTTGATGTTTAGATTTCTTGAAGCCGACCACACATAGTAAGAAAAAAGCTTCTTGTTGTTGTTGATGATGTTTAAATTTGTTAAAGAATTAGCTTGGTCTTTTTTATTTTTATGTAAATAGTAGTTGTGATAATTTGCATTTATATATGAGTAAGTTATCATTTCATTGTTCTTTAGTTTGATTCTAGATAAGATCACCCAAATTATTAAGATTAATCTCTTCCTAACTTTCTATGGCAGCCAGCCAGCCACCAATAGCATATCTCCTTTATCCTTGCTATAAGAGTTCAAGCACTTTCGGGTCAACCAATAATCCAATCAAATAACCTAACCCCAACATGGGCCATGGATCGGATCTATAACAGCCCCAATCCAATCCAAATTTTAATCTAGTTCAAATGTTATTTGAATTGGATCTAGGCCATCCAATCCAAATTTTAATCTAGTTCCAAAGTTATTTGAATTGGATCTAGGCCATGGTTAAACCATCCTTAAACCAACCCATTAACAAGCCTACGTAACACGAATGATCGACTTGGAATATCAAAAAGCAATTAAGACAACACTATATAGTCGATCAATGTCACCTTGGTTGACAGCCTTCATTGATGAAGGTTTTATCTCATGTATTTTTTTTTGTTCAAAATAAAAAAAATTTAGTTGACAAAATCATGGAGTACTTTGCGTCAACAAACAAACGCAATGGCCTGTGTAGACCACCACATCAACATGGATAAACCCAGGCTAAAGGCTGACAAATTCAAAAGTATTATTCTTAAAAAATTACACTTGAGATTATAGTTAAGCTTATAGAATAAAATTTATTTATTACAAATGTAATTATTTTATAAGAAAATTGATACTTGGAATTGTAGGTGAACTCGTCTAGATGTTTTGGGTCAACATGCATCTATTTAGCATGGTTATTTCCACTAGAGCTGATGGACAAAATGTGAAAACTCTATACCATTTAGAGGATCACAATTGGTTGAAAACTAGCAAAATCCTCTATGCCAAGATTTAGCACGTATATAAATGAAATCCTGTTATACATGACATTAATGTATAGCAGACCTAAAGTGCTTATTGCACAAAGAATTCTCTAAATATAAGAATGATGATATGCATCCATTTACAATAAATATCATGTTATTTACTTTTGTCTGCAGTCTTTAATTTCAACTCATATTGATGGGGACATCAGAGCGTGGAAAGTCTATCAGAGACGTGGTTGTTGATCTACGGTCATGATTGAGTTGATATATTTCTGAGTTGTATTATTTATTTTCTTTATTATTTTGTCATGTTGTATTTGATTTATTAGTGTTTCCGTTTTTACCCCTTACTTTAGGGAGGTCGTTTGTAAACCAGTGGGCGTTGTCGTCTTTTTATTTTCTTGAGTCTTTGTACGACGCTATATATAGCCTCATTGTTCTCTTTTCATGTTAATGATTGAATGATAAAAAATTTTCCACATGTTTTGAGTTCTTATGAGAGCTTGAGAGAGATCGGAGTGATATCTCTAGGAGAGGGAGAATTGTGCATCACCCACCAACCTAGAAAAGTCGGGTTCGTGGTCTTAATTTCTATCTCTTTCCCTTCCTCCTCCCACCACCACCGACGGCCCTATCTTCCCCTCCCCACCCCCAGTCCAAGCTCCACCCGAACCTAGAACCACTGGCCCTCCACCCTCACCGAATCCCTCCATCCCCTTCACCCCACCGAAACCCCACACAAAGCCCCACCACCCGCCGGCCCTCTTCCCCCCTCTCTCCCTCCAAAATTCAAATCTCCACCTTATGCACCTTCCATAAATGATCCCCCCTTAATTTGGGAATGCTTAGTTTCAAATTTCAAATTAATTTGAACTTGAAATTTTCTTTCCTAACTTAGAAAATCTATTTTAGGAAAGTTCCTAAATTAAAACTATTTGAATTTCAAATTAAAATTGGATTTAATTAAAACCTTTCCTAATTCCTAGACCAAAATTAAGAAGCTTTAATTCCCCTCCATTAAGCCCAATTAACTCCCCTTAGCCACCGGCCCCTATAGATTGGATTTGGGAATTTTATTTCCTAAATCCCCATCTCCCCTTTTGGAAAGATTTCAAAAATCTTTCATCCCTCCTTGGCCGAAAATCCCTAGCCCCACCTCAATTTATTTCCAATTGGAGAGGTTCTTCATTGGAAATAAATTAAGCCCCTCCCACCCTTCATGCTCGCTGCCCCCCTCTCTATATTCTCTCTTCCTTTAATTATCTTCAATCAAGAGGATAATTAGGAAGTGTTTGAATTAGAATTCCCTCCACCTCTCCTAAAATCTGAACCAAATCCCTTACCCTTGCTCTCATCATTGGCCGGCCACCTCCATCCCTTTTCCCCTCTTGATTTCTCAAGATTATCTCCTCCCTCTCAAGAGGAGTCTTCAAGGGGAGCATCGACGATCGTCTTCAACATCTAAACCTTCAAAGGTCATGCATGACCGATCCAAATCTTGATTACGGTCTCGCCTACGACGAACAAGGGTTTGTTAGCATCCTCCACTCCACCTTCTTCGAGGTCAATCCGAACATCGACAAGACCGTCGAAGAGTACGTAGAGCGCATTCAGGACACCCTTGTCGAGGCCATAGAAGAACAACTTGTCACCGTTCAGTGGAGGATTGCAACTCAATCGTGATAAGGGTTTAATAATCTTCCTTCTCTCGTATTTTGATTGTCTAACCTGTTCTTGTGATATGATTGATTCATGAAGGTCTTGTTCATCTATTTCTGCCGAGCCTAGTAATCATAGGACTTGAGTTTGACCTCTATGCTTCTAATCTCATTGTTAGCGTAGGGATTTTGTTTGAAAGCTACTTACTTCGCATTTTATTGATATTCTACGTTATTTTGATAAATCAAGCATTTGGCAAGTGGTTTAGCCGAAGCGTAGGCATCCCTTTCTCGTTTTATTTTGTCGTTTTAAATTGCTAAGAAGTTTTAATCATACTTGCTCTTATCAAGGAATCGTGCAAATTCTTATCGCATTCATTAAAAGCATCTTAGTCCTACATCACATATAGTCTACTATCTTTAATCCTAGCCCAAACAGCATAAGAAAAAGTGTTCCATTTTATATTGACTCAAGAGATGGCACATTTAAAAAAATCTAGATATCTAAATGTGACTTTTTTGATGTCAACTGTTTGACTACTATTCAATTTCAAAATATTTTGCACCCTGTAGAATTATAATATGATAAGATGTTAGGAATCACAGAAAGATGCAGTTTTCAAGCTTGCTATTATGGAACTCTAATTAAATGCATTCAAACATGAAATCTAACCAACAAAAATTGCATAAACTAACTGATCAAGTCTCAAAGCAGAGGTCCACGTGATTGTACTTACGGCAATTGCATACAACGTAGAGATGACAAAGATTAATCCAACGAGAATTCGAGTTGACACAGTCTCCACAAAAGCAGCAGAGAGAAGATTTCGTCTCAAAAGCTCATATGTCATCTTTGCAGCAGAGCAGTAGTTTTCACCCGTTATTGCAGCAAAATTTATGGTGAATTTATTGAGAAAGTCAAATGCAGTGAGCAAAAAATTGGCACAACACCGAAGTAGTAGTTTTATAAAGCCTACAGCAATATCTTCCCTTCTGGCACTATCTACAATAGCCCGTACAAAACGAACCACACCTAGTACCAATCCTGAAAAACATACCGTACCAAAGGAGGGGCCAAAAGCATTTCTGCAATAGCAAAGAGTAAACATGAAGAAAGCAAAAAAAATGATGAGTGAACTAAAATAATAACAAATAAAAAGTGTTCATTAACAACTTAATTGGTAAATTGGAATGGAAAAATTTTAATTTAAAGAATCAAGGAAACTATGAAAACATTAACTTAAGAAACATTGAACAAGAGCTAAAGTTACAAACTTCATTAAAGGGATGAAGTGATATTGATTTTATAGCATATGATATGTATTAGAGTATCAAAAACTACAGATATATACATTCCAGACCACCATGTCTCTATCCTGCTTTAGATTCATAACTGAAGGTCAAATTTTATGATATTTACTTCACTTACAAAAAATGATTTTGGTTTTTTTATACATATATGTAATCCAACGAAATGACTTTGCTTAGCACTTCTTTGTTTGGACTTTGAGCGAATTTAATTGCAAACTCTTGTTAAGAGAGCTAGTAAAATCAGTCTCATCATCCTCGAATCCAAGTCCTTATGGTGAGCCAAGACACCAAATCATTAGGCCAGGGTTGATTGTGTACCATGCTTACTACTTACAACAACAACAAGAAGCCTTTATCCCACTATGTGGGATTGACTACATTAATCTTTGTTCTCTACTGTGTTCTGTTAGAGTCAAATTCTCACTTAAATCTAATAAAGAAATATCATTTCTAATATTTTCTAACCAAAACTTTTTATGTCTTCCTCTACCTTTTTTAACATAAGCCAAGTCTAATACATCTACTCTCCTAGAAAATGGGCTATTATCCAATTGCTCATGAATTGCATTGAATTTCTCTTGGTATATCCTAATGTTACGCATCTAAACTCTAAACTATACGTGGGATTGGCTAAAATAAGTAATCAAGAATCAAGATCAAGCAAGATTTCTTCCCACAGCTTCACAAACTATGTTCAGATGAAAGTAATGTCTTAAAAGAACCTACAAATGAGATAATAGCCACATTAATGGATGCAAATTAATAGTCAAGCAACGTGTATGATACTTCTTTCCATTGATTATGTTTCTTTCCATCGACAAGTAATCAAAAGGCTTGACTAGCTAGTTGGAGAAACTTAGGCCAGAACACCACAAGCAAGTCATTTACAGGTCAATAACAATGTTCTTCACATATATATAACACTTACATGGTCTATCTATAAATTATAAACATCATAATCTTCAATGAAAAGCAACAAATGTCTTAAATCCATAAGCAGCTTCAAATGTCTACTGAAAAAAAGCAACTTCAGAAATGTCCCACTGTTCCTACTCTTTCACTAACCATTTCCACTTCAGAATTCTACTAACTCTAGCCCAATTCGACTAAGCCAACAAGTCTCCATTAGCTATACACTTAAGGAGTCTCTTAAGAAAATAGTATAATGGTAAAAGCAAGGTCCACAGTTAATCTACTAAAAATTTCAGCATGAACTGCAAAGCAAAGTAAACAAAAAGGAAAATGCTAATGGTGACATACCTCAAAGAATTCCTTATGCTGTTACGGGGCTTAACCCCCTCCATGGAGAAGTACCATTGAGCAACTGTTCCACTAGTCACATAAACCTTCGCTTCTAACATAGTCGCAAAGCTCCATAACATTGTAATTATGGCCAATGCAAAGTACGCAGGCACCCAACGATCTTGCTTCCACTTGCAAGAATACAAACCATCATCACCCTCCCTTGGTACAATACTCCCATTAAAAGTCACAAGCACCAAGAACACAACAATCGGCACAAAGTACACCAGCAATCCCAACATTAGACACGGAAGCACACCGAGCAACAGCATGTTGCTGACAAGCGCAGCTGAAGCTATCCGGAGAATATGAACCGTAAGTTTAATGCGGTGCCAATTGGAGAAGATGATCCAAACAACGATCGCGATGAGGAAGAAGACGAAGATGAGTACAAGGATGCGGTAGGCGAGGGGAAAGGAATCGCGACAAGTGACGCCGATTTGACAAGCGACGAACCAGTACACATTGAGGAAGATCGGGGTAAGGACGAAGAAGGGAATGGAGGAGTACACTACTTGTTTGGCGAAATGACGAAGGAGGGATAAAAGGGCGAAAACGATCGGCAAGGCGAGCAACAGAGTGATGACGAGAGTCCAGATGAGATCTCGGAGGAAATGGGAGGAGGAAAAAGAGACAAGAGAGAGTGAATTGAAGGTCGAGAAAAAAGTGGAAGACGAAGGAATACAAGAGGACGAGATTGGGTCGTAGATGAAAGAAGAAGCGTGAGCTCGGTTAGGGTTTCGGCGGACGGATGCGACGATGCCCAGGACGAAGGTGGAGAGAATGAGGAGGATGAATAGGATGAGGAAAGGGAGATCGCGAAGAGGACGGTGACCGTGGTTGTAGATAATTGGTGGGTACTGTTCGTCTTCCTCGGCTGCGAGTGCGACGGCGGAGGATGGGGCGGAGGGGAGAAGTGGGTCGGAGAGGATAAACGGCTTCGTTTCGTCGGCGCTTCCCATCGGAGGGAGGCAACAGGGTGGGAGATCTGAGGACAAGGTGGTTGTACTCTGTTCGCTTCAGCTCGTTTTGGTGCTACTGCTGCTTGTGGCCATGGAAGCGAGAGCAGCAAGGCGACAAGGAACCGGGTCGATGGAGCTCGTCAGCTCAGTGCCTCTCGCTGGCCACAGTTACGGGATGAGGAAGGGAGGCGGGGCCTTCAATATCAATGAACTCGCAACGGATTGAAATAATTATTTAATCGGTTTTCGATCAGATTTATTAATGCAATGAATGATCTGTCTCCCTATTAATAAAAATATATCAGTTTACACAACTCTCCTTGGCCTATTGATTGAGAGCTTAGACTTTCAACTAAGAGGTCCATAGTTCGAGTTTTCAGCAAGCTTATAATCAAATTGAACACCTTGAGAAGTTGAAACTCAATGACACCAAATTCAGTTCAATCCGAGCCTAAATCAATTTTAAAAACTTCAAAGCATTAATTGGATAATCAAACGATATCCAAATATGACATGCATATAGTCGAATCGAGCAGCTCGATGAGACGAATATAACGAGCCTAATATCTCCAAATTATAACATCATTAAGGCACTTAAATATTTGATAAATAAGTATTAATTGAGGGAATCACTATAAAACATCCGATAAAACATTACAAATATATCCTAGATCTTCTCCATATTTATGGATGGTGTCACTCTTAAAAAATTATAAAATACCTCTCATTCTTCACATGAAAAAAGGGAGGAGGAACAAGAGAAGTGCTAAGAGGATCGAAGAATCTTGGAGCTCCACCTCAGCATCACCATTAACGCATCAGCGCCACCAGGCCTTCATTGCTGGACCTCTGTCTGACCATCGCCGTTGGACCTCCATATGATTGTCACTTCTAGGCCTTCCTCTTACCACTATCTCCCTCCGACTACGACTACTCCGACTATCATCGTCTGTTGACTACGATCATTTCAACCACCATCACTTGTATATTACAGTACCTTTCGACAACCATTGCCCGACTATGATCCTTCCTATCATTGTTGTTCATCTACAATCCTTCCAACACCCACCGACTATAGTCCTTACAACCACCATTGCTCAACTACGATCATTCCGACTATTATTGCCCAGCTACAGTCCTTTTGACATCTGCTGACTATGGTCCCTCCTACATCTATCACCCGAATATCATCCTATTAGTTCAATGAATAGGACAACACTCTCTTGAGGGTAGCTTTGATGTTGTTGAATTCTTGCATCCATGTAAAGTCCTCTATATGATGTATAATGCTATATTGAGCTAACTTCTTCCCCCGGAGAATGAAATCATTTGTAATCAATTACAAATACTAATCATTTAAATTAGGCTAGGCCTTGTGATTTTTCCCATTTTTAGGGGCTTTTAAGTAAAAACTATAGTGTCTCTTATGAACGCTGCACTTATCTTTCTTATCTATTTGTGTTAGATTTTCGTACAAAGCTAAGATGCTAAACTCTATATCTCTATATCATAAAAAATTTCCATGACACAACAATTTGGCGTTGTCTGTGGGAAACGATTATTGGCTGGGGGGAAACCTTTGATGCAACCTCGAAAGGTCGTTTACGTCAACATCTTGAGCACAGTTGAAGTAAGGCAAACCCTTTCCCATGATCTATTATCATGTCCAAAGGAAGCCCCTCAATATTGAGTGCAATCTCATTGTAATAACAAACATGTATTACCTTATCACCCTTTAGTTGTCAATCACTACTGCATCAATTTCATGGAAGCTGATTTGGACTAGGGAGCAACCTTGGTTGCAACTTCAAAGGCCTCGGATTAGAAGTCTGATGGGAGCTCGCTCGTTGCGAAGGTAATCTTCGCCTCCTCCTTCCTTCACGATGGGAGCTAGCTCGCTCGCAAGCTCATAAATCCCGTTGTCCGTTAATTCTTAAATTCGTCGAACTGAGGGATTTGCTAAATCTCAAATTTACGTTGTAAATCCGCAAATCCGGGATTGGCAGAGGACTGAGATTTACAGAGCGCTCGAAAGACGTTTTATAGGATTTACCATAAATTCGAGATAAATCTGATACCAAACAACCCCATAAATTGCAATATGATCATCTAAATTTTGAATAGCATAATAAAATCTAAATCATACTTTTCACTTTCAGTAAAATTTCAGAAAAATTTACATACATAAGATTGAAAAGTTTAGCATTTATATATTTAACACATAAGTGTATTATTTACACAACTTCTCACTCCATTAACCCTTACACATATGTGAAGAGAAGAGGAAACTTCCGGTGAGAACTCTCCAATACAAAAAAGAAAAAAAAATTAAGTAAATATATTTTAATTAACTATATTATTTTGTAAGTATAATTTAAATTTTAAATTAAACATAGTTATATTTATTTAATCAATTTAAATTACATATAAAAATTTTGCTTAAAACAAATTTTCTAACTTACACGTCGTTTGAGATTGATTCCTTACTGATTCTTAAAGTAACTTTTTAATAAAAAATTTATAATTTAAAAAAAAAATTATACTAACAAATTAATTTAAAAAAATTAAGAAAATTATCCAAATAGATGATTTTAACAAAATTTTGTATTAAAAATTAATTTAAAAATAGAAGAAAAAGTACCAATTAAAATCTAAGTTGGCCTCATTGTGCCAAAAAAAAAGAAAGAAAGCTCAACGGAGCAACGACGGAGTTTGTACAATCTTTGCCATTGCCCATCTATTTGTATAATTTCTCATCTCTTTAGTCTCGGTCTTTGCTCTTCCTATAGCCTTAAGCCCGTCTTTTTTAGGGTTTACTTTTTCTCGTCGCCATTTCTTCGTTACTACTTCGGCTTCGCGTGCTTTGAGTGAAAGCAGCGTTTTGAAAGAGTCCGAAGCTTCTCCGCCTCCTTCAGCGACGTCGGATCGGAAGTGTCGACAGGAGCTCGCCGCGAAGGTAATGATCTTTCTCCTTTGGCGTGCTTCTTCTCCTAAATCCCGTAAATCCGCCTAACTTTCGGATTTTGCTTAATTCGGGATATAAGGCAAAACGAAGAAGGAACGGGATTTAAGATTCTGTAAGATTTAAAGTTGTCATTTTTTCTGTTTGGCAGGATTTGGACTAAATCATGAATCTAAAGAGCCCCTTAAATTTCTCCTGCATGTGTAATCGACTTTGAATTTGTGGGGTTTTGGGTAATAATCAGTGTTATATTTATAACCATGATTAGTAATTTGTTATCCTTTGATCTTATTAAAAAAATCCATGTTTATGTGTTTTTGCATGAATTATGGCGAGATCTTGTGGTAATTGATGCATGCCCTTAGCATGCTGAGCTAAGAGGGCTTATGCAACTCAAAAGATAACTTGATTACTAATTTAGAAGAAGGGCTGTTAAGTTGTGTATTTCTTTTACGGTGTTTATTTTCATTGTTATCTTAGCTTTCAATTGCATAGATTGTTATTTTTCCACACGAAGTTTATGGATTCTACCGATTGTTATCATTGTTTACTAGTTTTTTGTTTCTTGTTGTTCTTTCTATAAAACATTGTTCTAATCAATATATTAATTACAACAAATTTAATGTACTATACCTTGTCCATTGCATGATTTAAAATCGCGCAATTAGAAGCATGCTTCAACGCAATTTAAAAAATAAAAACAATGAGGTATTCATCTCATGCTTGACAAATGAGGCTTAGGCCATCGTGGGGGTGAGGCGCTCCTCGATGCAATTTCAACGCAATATTCAAAAGGTATAGGCCTAAAAAATTAAGTTTTAAATAATTTAAAATTTTTAATTATAAACTTTGTAAATAAAATTAAGCATATTTATTATACCTAAACCAAACTAAACTTGAGAAAAACTGTATGGTCTCAAACCCACAAACACAGTGCTCTCACGCCCTCACCTGATCACGCTACCTCCATTGTTATACCGTCATTACTCCTCCATTGCCTCTCCTCTTGTTGTCGGAAACTCTTTTTTTTTTTTGTTTAAGAGGGAAGAGAAGGTAATTAACTACAATGAGAGTGAAACTGGCTTTTGAATTCATAAATTATAACTTCTTACTACTTATTTATATTGAAATGATAATGTCAAAGACTACTTATTTAACATTATTTGTAGTATTGTTTGACTTTGAATAGCCTTACTTTAGTTTTTTATTATTTTACCTTAGCATCTTATTTTAATGTTATTATGTTATGTATTATTTCATATTTTCATTAATTTAATGATTTAATTTTGAGGCTTATACCTCAAAATGCCTTGTGACTTATACCTCACCCCATGAAAATAAAATGCCTCAAGGACCTATTGCAGAATTTCAAATATTGAGTCATTGTGGCATGTTATTGATCATATTTTATTCTCTGTTCCTTGCTGTCTATGCCTTAGCGAGTTGATTTAGTCTCTACTGAGTGTTTTCTTGCAAATTCATACTTGTTGATTTTGTACTTTTTTCAGGTTACTAGTTGAGCAGCCTTTCACAATGAGTTAGCAGGTGCGCACTTCTTATGCATGGGAAGGTGATTAATGTTGTAAATTTATTTATTTGATTTGATAGTGGTTTTTCTCTTTTTTGATGAAATGTTGCAATAGCTACATAAATTAATTTTTAACGGATATTTTGCATAGATGTCATTATATTTTTTATGATTCAATCTTCTTCTTCTTCTTCTTCTGGTGAATATCTAATATTTTGACCATATTATATCTATTGGATTAAATTTAAATCTCTACTCATCTCATTCTGTTGGTTTATTGTTAAGATCTTCCGTCCTCAGTGTGCGGGTTGTCGTAATGTCAACACTTCCCTAAAAAACTTTGTGTTTGTACTACAAATATTATATTTTGTGTGGATGTGTAAGTGTATTTAAATGCAAGCTAATAATCGAGTACATGGTCTATGAAGTATAATGCTTATGAGTATGTAAAGTAGATAAACTTTATGATGGTAACACTACCATGGGAACAAAATTTACCAACTACATTATATTAATCCTATAAATCATTTGTGATGGATTGAAAGGAAAAAAATCACCTAATAATATCTCTCGTCAGCCGAGAAATCATGAATTAAAGAAAATGCAGTCGCCGTAGGGCTTTTTTGGTTAATATTATTTTAAAAATATGTTTTAGAAAAGGGTGATTTTATTTTCACTCATTTTGAGTGTGAAGCTGAAAATACAACTTTTGTGGGAAGTTAGAGAAGGTTTATGGAGCTTGAGATCAATGTTAGTCCCTGACAACATCTAACAAAATAATGAATTTAGCTAACCCCTTCGGTTTGCATAACATGATTTTTAATTTATAGAAGCAAAATGCGCCTTAATTACATTACCTAACTGAATAATTTTTACCTGTTCTATATCTATGCAACTTGATGATCCGGTTAGGAAAGTAGATGTATTAGATTTGACTTATGTTAAGAAGGGTAGAGGTAGACCTAAAAAGATTTGGTTAGAAAATATTAGAAATGACCTTTCTTTATTAGATTTAAATGAGAATTTAACTTTTAACATGGTACAATGGAGAAAAAGGATTCATGTAGCCGACCCCCATAGTGGGATAAAGGCTTGATGTTGTTGTTGTATATTTATACAACTTGAAGACCTCAATCACTACAATAATTTTGTCAAACTTGAATGTCTCCTTCTCTCTGTATAAGAGACTAGTCTGCTAAACAGGATTTAGAAACTTGTTAAATTATTGTGCTAGATTCCACTCTTCAAGTTTAAATTAATAGAATACTTCACTTGAGCTTTTCATGATTTGTATTTCACAAAAGATTCCTAGTAACTGTTTGCAATGTATACGGCATGAATTATGTGGCCTTCTATAACTTAAGTGCTTCATAGATCATGCACAATTAACTTATTATTAATATCCTTTGTGACTTTCACTTTAACACAAATGAAACACTTCCGTGTTAATTTTTCTAATTTCAATATGTAGGTTTGATTTTCTATAAGAAATAGAATGCTTTATCCATGAAAATAGTTGTTTGTTGATAGGAAATACTTGAGTTCGCAAGTAAACATAATGGGAAATACTTGAGTTCGCAAGCAAAACTAACAATAATCGGTAAAACAACGAGAAAATGGAAGAAAAAATGGTGGAAAACAATCAAACGATAGATTATCTTATAAAAAGCAAAGATACAATCGTTCCTCAATTCGAGAGGAGGTTCGTCTCTCCCAAATATCTAGACAAGAGAGTTTAGAGCCCAAGTCGCCAAGAAACCCTAATTGGGAATAAATCAAAACATAATCCCTTCCTAAACATCTCATGCTCTTTGATACAAAAATTTTCTTAATCTAATTTCCCTCCCAAGCCCTAGCCGCCTCCTCCTTTTCAATTTGAATTCAAGTGAACTAGTGGGGCCCTCAATGTGGGCGGGCAAGACCAAGGGAGGCGGATAGGTTCTGCCTCCTGTAGTAGATCTGGTTCATGGTGAACCAGCCTAACATTTGTTTACCTGAGAATCAGAAGTTGTTACAAATCTGTATTTCGTTAAGGTTCTTATTAAACAATTAAGATTGCTCTGGTGAAATTTTAGTTTTTTTACAATTTTGTAATGCTATGACAAATATTTTCAAGACCTTTTTTTGTTTGGGACGACTTTCTCACAGCTTCTTTGCTTTCTTCTTTAAGAAACTGTAAGAAGCCATCACAAACAAAACTTTAATGTCAATACATATCCAAGGAAGCTCTTTGACTCTGTTGATTGAATCCTAGCCATATTGTTTTTTTTTTTGTCCTGCAGATATTAGTAAAAACATAAGCTACCATAAAATGAAGCACATCTTAAAGATTTTGGGATTACTTGTTGCTGTATCTGCTGTTTGGATTGGCCTATTGGAAGCATCCATTGTTCCAAGTAGCCATGCTTGGCTGGTAAGATTCAGCTCCATGTTGTTTACTCAAGTGATTAAGTCTTTATTTGGGACGGCTATAATTTTGTATTAAAAAGATGCTTTAAGAAGCAGTAAGAAAGCTGTCCCAAATGAAGACTAAATATTCAAGCTTTTTAACCTCTCTAATCTTCCTTTTGTTTCATAATTCTTGTTTCAGCTTCCAGTATACTTGATTGTTTCATTGGGATGCTATGGTCTTCTAATGGTTGGAGTTGGTTTGATGTTCTTCCCAACTTGCCCTCAAGAAGCTCAATTGTTACATAAGGTTATTTATATAATAGTTTAATTTGCATATTTATCCATTGGCATATTTATCCTGTTGTCAATTGTATAACTTTATTGCCACAGAATAGGTATCAAAACCTTTTGATTTGATTTGAGAAGCTTTTATCACCATTACAAAGATTTCATTCTAAGCCTGTAGTCTCCTTTTCCAACTTTGTTGGCCTCATCTAATTAGATTATTATGTATTTTGCTGCAGGATATTGCAGAAGCTAAGGAATTTCTGAAGAAGAAAGGACTTGATGTGGGCTTGGATTAACTTGAGACAACTTTTATATGTTTTGTTTGGCTTTGTTTGGAATAGCTTTCTAACTGTTTTCTTTAGATTTTTTTTATTAGAAATCTGCTTTAGAAAATAGTAAGAAAGCTGTCCCAAACGAAATCTTATTGTTGTGGAGTTTTGAAAGCAACTTCATTCTAGGTTTTTGTGAATTTCGACTCTAAAAAGAAGTTAGAAAATTTGCCCATGTAATGTTATTTTAAAATTATTATATCAAAATTTGTTCAATTTTTTGTTCACTTATGGGCTATTTGATTTGGAGTAAAAAAAGTTTAAAATATTTCAAATATAGAAGTTTGAAAATATTGATGTATAAAAATAATGTAAAGTAAAATTTTGAAGTATTTGAAATACATATTCTAATTCAATTTGGATGTTTATACCAATATTTAGGCTTGAAACTTTCATAAATGTTAGATTGGCTCAACTTGATAAAAAGTATTGAATAAAAATATATTAAAATGTCTAGATGAAAAGATAAAATATTCAAATTATAATTTAAATATATTAAATTAATAATTAATTAAAATATTCTTTAAAATAATTAATTCATTGTTATTATAATTGTGAATGCATATAATCTTATCATTTTGATATAAATTGTATCATAATTTTTTTTCCAAAATTATCTATTTATCTCTCTCATATTTGTAGCGCTTAATCGGACAATTTTAATGATATAAATTAGACCAGTATTCAAAGAAAATTACAATAGGCCCTCCATATGATTTGATATTTATTGATTGCATTGATAAGAAAATGTAGGTTTTATTTTGAGAATTTTTTTTATTTTTTAAAGTAATTTTTAATATAAATTTTTTTTAATAAAAATACCAAAAATGCTTGAAAAAATAATAATTAAGTCGTCTTAAAGAAGGCTTTATTTGGGACGGCTTTTTTACTGCTTCTTAAAAGTAGCTTTCTAGTACAAAAATTAAAATTTTCTTTAAGAACTAGTAAAAAGTCATCTCAAATGAAACCTTATTATGCTAAACAAAAGCTAGCAAGTGCATACCTTTTGGAATAAAAGTAAAATGATAAGTAAAAATTGAGTGCAAAGGACTATTTGAGACGGCTGAAATTTTTTATAAAGATAGCTGTAATTGCAGTACATGTAAAGATTGGAAGAAAATTGTTCCAAAAAGATTCAAAATTTATGTAATAATACAAAAAATATTTAACTTAAAAGATTGGAACTCCTCTCTCTCATAAGAAGAAAGGTAAGGGTATAAGATTTCATTTGGGGCAGCTTTTTACTGCTTCTTAAAGTAACTTTTTAGTACAATAAATTTACTTTTTGTGCTAAAAAATTACTTTAAAAATCAGTAGAAAAGCTGTTCAAAATCAAGCCTGAATCAGTCGAATACAGAGATTTCACCATTCCAACTACAAGCTGCAACTAAATCAGGAATCAAAGGATGGAACACAACATCAATGCATGGTTCCTCAAAAGCTTTAATTTTTCTAATAAGTTGTGCAGATCTATAATCATAAAAGTATATAGATCCATCAGAGGAACCTGTAACAACTTCCTTGCCATCCAAGCTGAAATTGCACTTAATGGGAAAGCCCCAGACTCCATGATTCTCATACCGCTTGTACCTGTCTAATCTGAAAGGAGGCCTGGCTGAGAAAATGGCTATGTAGTTCCCGTTTGATTGCGCAATGAAGCAACAATCTGAGGGGTGGTATCTGATGCATGGGCATGTAAAGGCTTCTGTATACACCTGAGAAGAAACACTTCATTTTTTATAGCTGCTCTCTGTGCCTATATGCATATATGTAGCTGTTGACAACTGATATAGAACAGGTTCAGCACAAGTTAATTGCAAGGTCAGTGTTAAAGATAAATAAGAATCACTTTGTTTACATATCAATGTAATCAGAGGCGGAAACGGCCATAATTTTCAAGGGGGAAAACTTATAAGTAACTGTTGGTGTTGCCTAGAATTTGGCTCAACCCTTCACTACAAGAAAATGGATCAATAGCGACCTCTATTTGTTCATATCCTTTATCTCCGTATGCTTCCTTGATATATTGGGGGTCCAAAGGGGCAGCGCTCCCTGGCGAGGTTCGATCATAGTGTTTTAAAATGAATAAATAAAATGATGAATTCTATTTACTATTTGCTGAGACAATTGCCTAAAGACAATAGTATTTTAAAAATTTTAGAGGAGTACAATTACCTAAAAACTCTTGTAATAAAGACTAAAAAATTGATGAAGAGAGACAAATTACCTAAAGAATAATATAACAAGAGGGGAGGGAAATTGTCCCCCTGACATAAAGGGATGTCAGGGGGTTCGCCTTTGAATGTAATTTTTTTTACTTTTTTAATTATGGATTAGTTATGCTGTAAGAATGTCAAAAATACTAATTGTTAAATGAGTTGAAGTTTCATTAAAGCAGCAAGTCCAAAGTTGTCGCATCATATTGCAACCGCACCATCTCCTTCATCAAATCAAAGTCAATTGCTTATTTGGCCAGCCATTCAAGAGCCTCATGTAGAATATCAATTACTGTTTCATCTTCCAATAAACCTTTCTTTAATAGATCCGCGGACCTTCGGTTTCAAAGATGGAGTTATGAAGATTTTGGTTGTTTGACCACTCTTTCCTCTACTTATGATGGTTTGTATTCTTTAATGCAAGTTGACTACCATACAAAAACCACAAGGTTGAATGGACTTGTAGCATATGATATTTGATAATTAAAAAAAAAAAAAAAAAACTTTCTTTTGAGGGAGAGTGATGGCAGATGTGGCTTTCATGCAAGGAAAAGATTGCTAAGATCTAAATAAAGTAAAAAATATTGTGGATTGGAGAATCAATGGTGGCAATCAAACATGCCTCATGGATATTGAGAAACTCGACCAAAATTTTGGGACTGATTTAGGATATCAAGATCTGGACGTAACTTGTTCTTATAAATTTATTTCAGAAATGTGACAGATCATTAACCAGTGAATGCCACATCACCAACCTGACCATATTCAAGATGCACGCAAATTTTGACCGAAACTTAACCTATAAACAAAACAAATAGCAAGAATTGATGCAATTATGGTAATGCTTTGACAAGATGGCATTGCTTGAAGATGATAAATGCTCATTTGAAGATGAAAGATGATACATCCTAGTCAATAATATCTGAAAATTATAACTTAATTTTAGAATTATTAAGGCATCACAAACCTGATTTGACAAGGGAATTTGTCGTGATACATCCCAGATAATAATAGAGTTCTCACTAATGTTGCTTCTTGATGTGTCAGTCGAAGAAATAAAATGCTTTCCATCAACACTAAATTCAACATCAAGGACTGGATCCAAATGTCTGAGATATTCATGAACCACCTTCTTAACCCGAGTGTCCCATAGACGAATAAAGCCTTTTGAACCTCCTGAAAGGAAAAGATTTGAGTTTGCTGAGTGGAACTTTATTGATTGAACAACTTGATCTTCCTTGAATTGTTGTGTTTCCACCCCTTTTTCAACATCAATTAGCCTTGAAGAACAATCGTATCCACAAGAAAGTAAAAACAACCCTTGTGGACACCACCTCACATCTGTCACTGCTGATTTATGATGGGTGAAAGTGCATATTTTCTTCTGTGCCTTGTTCCATACATTCCAAACAAAGACGGACTGATCCATTCCAGCAGAAGCAAGAAGATGTGCTGCACATCGTTTTCATTTGTTAAACAAAAGGCTAAAGCATAAGCCAGAATATGACCTCTGACAAACTTCTAAAAATGCTCAATTCATATTATGCATGCATTACGAAGCCAGTAAAGTCAAACCCTAGGGCCAGCATTACCCACTATCATATTACCACTTGTCGCATTGGTGAATGTTTCTATTGAGCTGATTTCGTCAAAAGATTTGAATGCCAAGTTATGGGCAACTATTTGGATCATAACGACTGGTTGGATAGTCTTCTTCATTGCTAGGTGGGGATGTTGGTACTCACATCGACACTATAGATGATGATGTGTATAATTTGGAAGCGTCTCATATTGTCTAAAGCGGTGGCAAGCGACGTAGCCAGAAAGCTAAAAAGAAGTAATTGTGTGGTTTCTTTTAATGTTGTGTATCATCCTGTTGGTTGATTGATGGTTTTGGATGTTTTGTGGTTGGAAGGAAAGGCTGAGGGTTGTTGTATTTTGTTTTAGGACTATGATGAGGCAGGTTTTTTGCACTCCCTTCTAGAAGGCCATGGCTTGTTTTGGCAACCTTGGTGGATCCTTATTCTGTGTATTCAAGGGTGGATTTCGTATTTGGGTTTTCTCACGGATGCTTATTTCCTCCAATGGATGGTCCTAGCCTGGCAACCGGGTGGTCATTCTGAGTCCGGCACTTCAGATTTTTTATCTTTTCTAGCTTATTTTGTTTTTTGTGGGTTAATGTGTCTTTCTTCAGCTTTGTAATTTTTTTTTACTATGCTTGCCTTTTGGTTGTATGTCCTTCTCATGTTGGAATAAAATCTATTTTGGTTAAAAGAAATAAAAAAAAAGGTTTTGTATCAAAAGCTTTATATTAAAAGAGCAATTTTTCTCACATCCAATGAGTCAACACTTTCACTCGTTCATGTTATGTATAATACAAGAAGGTTGTGGAAAAAACAATCACATCTTTTGATTCTTTATATATCTAATTTTGAAAATCAGTTGGCTTGAATCAATGTAAAGAACGTACCATATCACAATTCATTGATCCGTTAAGATGTTGTTTTTTATGTAGTAGCTGCACCAGTAACTAAAGTAACTATAGGTTATGACCGTTAGGTTAATGTATTTCTGGTGTCAATACTTTAGCAGCAGTAATTTTTCATCTAATAAGCCAGTGAAATCAAAATAATTAAAGAAAATTCATGCAAAAAATGATTCACTATGCAAAGTGAGATTAAGAACTGCAAAAGACAAAGTACAAGGAAAAATAATAAGGTTCTCATTGAGGGAATCTTGTGTTCAATAATGAAGTTATTTTGGCGATGAAGTGGTCATTTAAAAATGTAGTGAGTAACAACTTTCTCATAATGGTGTAGTTATTTTAGGAAAATTATGTAACAAATTCTTTGTATCAGTAAATTTCAAAGCCTTTTATTGAGCAAAAGAAGTACAGTTGGATCATATCTACTATTGGCAGTGTTATATAAAATAAATGTGCTCTGAAATAAAAATGAATAATCTGTCAATCATGTTGTCAACGGTCATGAAGATAACATCAAAAGGAATAACTAACCATGATTGTGCGACCATTGGATTGAATTGATGGATTTACTATGGCCCTTCAAATTAACTGACAATTTTCCAGATATTTTGTTGCCATGTACATGAGCTTTGCCATGACCTTTTAACAGCGCCTTAACATCACCAGGAAGATCTGCATCAGACAGAGTTCCTGCATCTGAAAAGAAGCCATAACAGAACAAGTAATCAACAAACCATTCAAAATAACTATGAAAACATAAAAGATTTGAGCATAATCATTTACTTAATGTAAAACAAATTAAGGGGTTGGTTCATTGGCATCTTCAAAATGACTATTAGCAGATACCAAATATTTGGCTTAGTGAAAACTTTGAATTTCATTTTTCAGTTGCATTCTGATCACATTTTAATGTACTCGACCAAATCTTCTGAAATCTCAATGTTTGAGTAACTGATGACTAAAGTGAGAGGTGGTTTGGTTCAATGTTGTTTGCGATGTAATTTAATATTATTGAGAGAATGGCGGATGACCGCTATTTGATTCATTGGTATTTTTAAAACCCAACTTTATAATTGGCATTTAAGCACTACTTTGATGATATTTGAACGTTTACCCAATCTTCGCTAAATCAAATGGGAATAAAAGAAATATAATAATCAATATTAATATTAATTTCTAGATAACATTAAATTTCTGAAGACAGTATTGAATAAAAAACACCACATTTGATAAATAAGAAAGATATCCGAATAAATGGTTATACAATGCTATCTATCTACGTAAAATTGACCCAAACAGACTGTATTTTACAGATAAATTTTTTATCTAAATAGTATTAAATTCTATATAAAGAGCAATCTAAACAACAACAAACAAAACAGCTTCTAAACCAACAAAAAAAGTTTTTTGATTTCTACATTGAGCCAAAATCATGAATGAATAATTCCAGGAATTTACTAGAAACCCTAGGTATAATAAAGTAGAAAAGATGAGAAGAACCAGGAGGTATGATAACCGGAGGAAAAGAATCCGCAGGCATTGAAGAAGCAGAACGAATCGCCCTCTCCCTCTTCGAGACGTATCTGCCTGGGATCGCCGGAGCTTTTCCAGGCTCGCCAGAAGACAGGCGGCCATGATTGGCCGCCGCAGAGAAGGGTATAGGGTGGAAAGAATACCCTTCCAACCGCCTTTTCTTCGCGGGTAAGATGGGACGCGAGCTGTTATCGCCTTCTTCATCATCGGAAGTATTTGCATAAGCTCTGCAGAGAAGATCCATGGCCGTAGAATCTTACTTCCTCGTCCACCCTCTCCAGTCTCAATTCTCTGGTTACCCGGTCCAGTTGGGTCTGATATCTGAATCGAGGATGACCCGCCAATCGGAATTCGATCAGTTTGTGAAACCACTCATTAAATCAAAACACGCGATAATTTATAATAGATATTTAAGCCATATCAGACTAATTACAAACCATCCGAAATAAATATTATTATTCGACTTAAGCAAAATATATAAACAAATAAAAATGAGAAAAAAGATTAAAATTGTTCATCCACTCTTTATGAATGACTAAAATAGCCATCAATTTAATTAAATAACTATTTTGATCTCTCAATTCCTTAAAGAGGAATCAATAACCATGGGACTATTTTTATTCATTTGAGGGATCAAAATTGATATGCTAAGAATTATTTTTGTCTTTTCATAAAAAATCAATGGACTATGATGACCTTTTTTGCAAATAATTGTAGGTAGCGGGACCATAGTCGGCGAGCGACGGTGGTCGGAGGGACCGTAGTCGATAGACGATGAAGGTCGGAGGGACCGTAGTCGATAGACGATGAAGATCAGAAGGACCATAGTCTGCAAGAGACGGTGGTCGAAGGGACCGTAGTTGGCGAACTACAAAGGTTGGATGGACCATAGTTGTCAGGCAACAATGATTAGAGGATCATAGTCATAGGACAACAATGGATAGAGGGACCATAGTTGGTGAGTGACGATAGACGGTGGAACTCTTTGTCGTCTGGTGATAACAGTTGAAGGGAATATAGTTGAAGGACAACAGTGGACATATGGACTGTAGCCGAGCAGCGGTTGGAGGACAAGCAGTGGTACGAGGACGATCGGCGGTTGGGCAATGGCCTAACAATGGTCGACAGCCAAGTGGTGGTCCAACGTTGGTCGACATAAGTTCGTCAGCTGTGATGCTTGGGCAAAACTCTAGGATCTTTTAAGCCTCAAAACTCTCTCCAATCTCCAGCCAAAAAATTCTCCTCATGAAGAGAACATGAGCCTATTTATAATTTTTTGAGATTGGTGTGCCTCGTAAATATGGAGAAGATTCATGATAAATTTTAGAGTGCTCAATCAGACGACCCATATTGATTCCCTTGATCATATAACATTCATCGAGCATTTGAATGTCCTAATGATGTCGGAATTAAGTGATCATAGGCTCATTGGATTCGTCTCGTCAAGCCAGTCAATTCGACTATAAGCATGCTATATTTGGATATCATTTAATCATCTAATGTATGCTTTGAACTTTTTAAATGTCGGAATCTGTAGCAACCTAAATTATTTCGAATAAGATTCAAATAAAACTCTATCAATGTTGAAACCATATGCCACAAAAATTTGTAATTATGATCATGAGTTCAACCTACCGCACTTTACATTGATTTTTAGCAACACATTCATTGAAAGCATCATTACATCCACTTCGCGAAGACTTATAAGTTGACTTTCTACAATTATGATTACATTGGATATATCTACATTCATATATTATTTGCATGACTTTCATATATAAGTATATAACACAATAATGTCAATGGCCTCAAATGGCTCAATTTACATAACAATTTTTCCCATCACAATAATGATTTGTTACTATATTTAATCTACAATAATGATTTATGTATTTCTATGTTGCTAATTTTATACAAAAAAATAGGGATTTATATACATACCATATAATTCTTATATATTTACATATTTAACACAAATTTGATTTTATAACTTACATTACACTCAAAATTTTAAATCACATAAAAATATCACTAATATTAATTTTTTAAAATTAACATATACATTTACATGTACTGCTTTGATCTTTGAGATTCTAAATATTGATACAAGTAAATATCAAAGTTTAGCTATTTGATAGGTAAATTCATTAGAATTGTTTGAGCATCTATGCAAACCCCACCTTACAAAATCTAATATTTAGATTAATAACATATAATATATATATTATAAGTCAACATATTTAGACTTCATTTGAGGATATATTATTATGTGCGATCAGACGAATTAAGACGCGCCACATCACCTGGTACACAACAGTACATAATATCTGTACTCTGCAAAAAAGTGACCTGGTGCGTCATGATTCAACTCCGAACAGTGTCCGGTGACTATACGTAATAATTCATCTCATTTGAGATAGTTTTTTAACACTACTTTAATAATATAAATTAATAATGCTCAAATAATTTTATATATTAATGTATTCAATTCAATTCTAATAAATTTAATTGTTAATTTGTAATTAAATTTAATTATACTAATTAAATTATAATTATATAATATATTAATTATTAATGTTCATTTAATTTTTATATTAGTGTATCTATCTCTAATTAATTTAATTGAAAAGTACAAAAAAATAATTAATAAAATTTCATCAAATTTAATTACACTAATTAAATTATAGTTATCATTACATAGTACTTAAAACAATAATTAATTAAGAAATTACAAATCTAATTACATATAAGAAATTTTATTTTATCAAATTAAATCATAAATAAAATTAATATTAATTAAAAAATTACAACTATAAATTCACCGCAACACAGCTATATATTAGTCGAAACCCTCGTCGTCCACCCGCCTCCTCTCCTAAACCTCCCGCGAAACCGAAACAGACGTCGCGGCGGTCGCTGCTGGCGAAGCATCGACGGGATCACGGTGGTGTGCCCGAAACCCGTTTTTAATGCCCCTTCCGTTCCTAGCCGAAGCCGTCGACGTAAAAGAAGCAAGAGTCGCGATGGGAGCTCGCTGCATCGACGGGATAGCGTATTCTTTGTGTTCGTCTAAATCATTGAATCCGCTGAACAGCAGGATTTAGTAAATCTTGGTTTAGAGCGAATCGGATGTAAACCGAAATTTGAAAAAAAAAGCTTTAAGGTTTATTTTGAACAAGCTGACCGCTTGGCAGGATTTACAGTAAATCCTGCTACCAAACAGCTACCAAGGCTACAGTGTATCTTATTTGTCAAAGCCTCGATTATATTCGCAATATTTTTCCTTGCGAGCTTTCCTATTGCTGGATAATTACGATGCTGTATATTGTTGGTCTGGGTCTTGGGGACGAGAGAGATATTACAATCAGAGGTCTCGAAGCTGTGAAAAGCTGCAAGAAAGTCTACATGGAGGCCTACACTTCTCTTCTTTCCTTTGGTCTCTCCTCTGATGGTCTCTCCAGAATGGTATGTCTTCATTTCCCAATTTTTGTTGTTGATTCATTGAAAATCTTTTGAAACTTCACAAATTTGAATATAGGAGGTTGTGTTTTGCTGAAAATTTTATTTTTCCGTTGTCTAATCCATAGTTTATTATTAAGGTGTTTTGAATTTCACTAAATTATTCTAATAATTTTTACTGACATTTCAACTATACCATGTACGGATGTAATTTGAAATTTAAAAATAGTCTTTGTTATAATCCATTTACTTCGACACACGGGCAATGTTATGTATCATTTTATTTGACAATGCAGAAGGGGAGGCTCTTTCCTGCTTCAAAGTGAATAATAATTCATTATTAATGGAAAAATAGTTTCAAAGATTTGGATTTAAGTTTCACTTTTGCTAAGCGTCTTCTGATAGAATTTAGAAAATATATTAGTGTCTTGGAAATGCTATGCAAAGTGTAATTCTTCTTGTAACTTTGGTTGAAATAAGGAATCATACAGTGGCAAAAAAGGTGCAATATTTGAACTTAATCTGTAATGACCGTTTCATATATTTAATCATTATTAAGCAAAACATGAAAAACTTCAATTGTACTTATTTAAAACAAGCTTTTCGAGGGTAGAAACAAAAATATTTCTGATTTCACAAGCATAATTTATCCCATATAAATTAAAAATTAAAGTTTCTAATATTTCTAAACTTCTGTGAATAATATCATTGTAATTTGTATTTATATATAAATGAATCATCTAACCATGCCATTTCAGAGGGTTACTTATTCCCAAAATATTTTCAGAGGACTACTTAATCCCAAATTATTTCTTCTTACTTTTAGAGCACATAGAAGCTACACATTACAAGATAAGACCAAGGTTGAAATAATTAATCAGCACAATCTTGGTTACACCCAATGTGTTTTAAACTGCAATTTCAAAACCCCGCACCTAATCAAGATGACCTTGAATGAAAAGTGTCATTTTAGTATAATATAGTTGAAAAACCCTTCAAGCCTATGCCTTTTCTTATCAGCATCAATTCACTTAATCGACTCTTAATCCTTAGGAATCACAATGCCAACATAATTTTGTTCAAAAGAAGTTTGGATAAAAATTATAGGCAGCACAACAAACCCATGATAAAGTATTTTAATCTTGCAATGAAGAGTTTTTGCACAATATGGTAAGAAAATGTATTAATCGTTTTCTTAATCATGTATCATTTTATCAGAGAATGCAGTGGATGAGATTCTTTTCAGCTTTGACACACATGCAATGTTATGAATCATTTTATTTTAGAATGCAGCGGATGAAACTCTTTCCTGCTTCAAAGCTAATCATAGTTCATTATTAAAGGAAAAATAAATTCAAAGATTTGGATTTAAGTTTCACTTTTTCAAAGCATATTCTGATAGAATTTAGAAAAAATATTAGTGTCTTGGAAATGCTATGCAAAGTTTGATTCTTCTTGTGACTTTGGTTGAAATCAGAAATCATAGAGTGGCAAAAGGTGCAACATTTGAACTTATTCTATAATGAATGTTGCATATCTTTATTCATTACTATGCAAAGAACATGAAAACACTTCAATTGTACTTATTTAAAAGAAGCTTGTCAAGGGTTGAAACACAAATATTTATTTTTTCACATTCTGAATTTAAATCCCATATAAATTAAAAATAAAGTTTTCTAATATTTCTAAATTTTTGTAAATAATATCATTGTAATTTTTATTTATATGCAAATTAATCATTTAATCATGCCATTTTAGAGACTAATTATTCCAAAATTATTTTCAGATGACTACTTAATCCCAATTTTATTTTCTTCTAACTTTTAAAGCACAAAAAACCTACACATTACAAGATAAGATTATGATTGAAATAATTAATCAAATATTATCTAGCTTATGTCCAAAATCACGTACCTAACCAAGAAGACTCAAAATGGAAAATGTATTTTTAAGTATATTATAGTTGAAAAGCCCATGCCTTTTCTTGTTAGCATTAAAGAGTTTATTGACCTTTAATCCCTAGGAATCACATTGCCAACATAATTTTGTAGAACAGAAGTTTGGATAAAAGCGATGGGCATCACAACGAACCCATGATAAAGTATTTTAATCTTGCAATGAAGAGTTTTTCACAATATGATAAGCGAATCTATTAATCTTTACTGCAATGAAGGATGACATTTCATTGAAATTTGGAGTGTGATGGGTGATATCGCAGTGATTTAGTTAACTAATATTTTAAATTTAACTATGAAGACTAAATGACTAAAGAATAATTATTTTTATACTAATTTTTAAGTTCAATGACAACGTTCAGGTTTGTGCTAATGATAAAGAAATCCAACTTTTGTGCCATAAAATGATGCAATAGTAATGGGACACAAGCTAGAAAACGTTGGATCAATTTATGTGAATAAATTTAGTCTTGTCATTTGTGTTAGGGAAATTGATTATTGAGATTTGAAGAGTTAGGAGTGATGTCCAATTATTTAGTTAGCAAATCATTTCAATACTGTTTTAAGACTAATGATTAGAAAGAAAGTATTTTGATACCAATATTTAAGAGCAAAGATTATATTCAAAATTATGCTAATATAAAGGAATCAAACTAATGATACAATGAAGCTATGAGAGAGAATAATGACTATACTCTTTGAAAAATTATATCATTTTATTGGAACAAATTTAGTTTTATGCTAGCAAAATCAATTATGGATTAAGACAACTAACAAAGAAACCTAGGGAACAAAAAAATGCATAGTTGTTGTTCATTAATGCATAAATGTGTTTTATAGATATATTGACATTGCAAAAGATATGCATGATAGATCATTGAATAGCCTTATAAGTAGTTGTGAAGTGATCAAAAGTTTGCAATTATTATATGTTCGCGTGAACGTTGAACATTTAGTAATGATATAGAGCAGGAGAATGAACCTTTTTTTGCATCTCACACAAAAATGGTTACGTATTTTATAAGATTTGCATTCTTAAGATTATTATTTATAATTTTATGTTAAATATGATTTTCTATGTAATCTAAAAAATGAATTAAAGCTTTGTCATGTAAATTGTTAGGCCATCATTTTAAAAGTTTGGAGCTAAATTGTTTTTGATTTTTCTAATAGTTAATGAAAGATTCGAACAAATAATTAATCTCAGCAATGATTTCATTATTTTTGGCACTTCGTTAGAAGAGACATCATCCATATATAATTGCCAAGGTTTCAAATTCCTTTCTGTCATCAAAATCTTATTTAAAAACACATAATATAATAGTTCAGTATATATATATATATATAATTTTTCTAGTTTTTTTATATCACGTTTCAGCATACTTCAAGCATATTTAGGATGCAAACAAATAGGAAGATAAACTTTGATTATTTTATACTCATTTCTACAATTTTTTATAACTTTTAATTACGTACATTTATTACACATGTATTATTATTAGTATCAGATAAGGATTGAGTTTAGGTGTATCGTTGTGATTTTGATGTAGGTAGAGCACAACTCCTTTTCTTTGTTGAGAATGTTATGTTTGTATGTTTTTGTCATTGAAACATTTTAGAGCTAAGTGGTGCAAGTCTTATTTGTTTAATTCCTTTGAGATTGGAGAATGTAGTTCAGAGTTCTTGAAATTCAATTGTTCAGCGGAAAATTTGAAAGTTCTTCATACACCATCACATCACTAGTATCAATTTTGCCATTAGTTCGATTCTTTTGGGAACATGAAAGTGTACTTGGAGCTTTGGCCAGTTTATATTATGACATTACCAGGCAAACTGTTGTTTTCCCCTTTCTCTTCTATATTTTTATAAAAATGATTTATGATAGTATTTATTGGATGCAAGAACTTAATTTTTTTATGTATTTTCAATTCTATTTAGGAAAAGCTATATGGAAAGACCATCACTGTTGCTGACAGAGAGATGGTAGAAGAAAAGGCTGATGAAATATTGACAGAAGCTTCTAAATTTGATGTTGCTTTCTTGGTAGTTGGGGATCCCTTCGGGTAAATTTTTTCACACTCTTTATTCACCACATCCCATCCAAAAACAAGTGAACACAATCCATTCCAAAAAATTAGCTTAATGTTAATGCAGTTTATTTTTCTTATATGAGGTGGTTTACTTATAAGTTCTGCTATTGTTATATAGAGCAACAACACATTCTGACTTGGTTGTCCGTGCAAAGAAGTTGTCAGTGGAAGTCAAAGTGATCTATAATGCATCAATAATGAATGCGATTGGGGTTTGTGGTTTGCAACTGTATCGTTATGGTGAAACTGTATCCATACCTTTCTTTACAGAGACATGGAGACCAGACAGCTTTTATGAAAAAATTCAGAGAAATAAAGAGCTTGGATTGCATACTCTTTGCTTATTAGGTAGGTTGTACAAGTCTTTTTTATTTAAGATTCAATTGTGGAATGAGAATTTCTTTCATTGCTCTTATTAGTTTTGATAGAATTTTTAACTTAGAAGCATTGTATGATTTTCTCTTTTTTTCTGCATGTAGCCTAGTTAAAGCTACATGGCTCTTTATGAGTGTTTTTTTTGTTGGTTTTTATTTTGATATCTCAATTTGTAGGTGGTAGTTGAATTACTAAGTTATCCAATGAGATGAACCATGCCAAATAATTTCCTTTCTCTCTATTGTATAGTGCATTCAAGTGCAAACACTTTTATAGATGGCTAGGGCATTGCTTGTTTTTGTTTTGTTTTTTTTAATATAAAACTTATCTTAAATATTTTATTAATTAAAAATAGGGCATAAGGTCAATCACGGCTAAGTAGGCACAAGGCTAGCTTCATAAATGATGAAATGATGCTAGAGTTGCAGATCAAATTCTATGCATTGAGCTATTTGATATTTAGTTTTAAGAATGTCGCATGCCATTCTCGGATTCATGAATGCTACCTTGGGAGACAAGGTAAATGATGCTTAAGCTAGCCCTATTTAGTGGAACATTGCTTCTATTACTATAAACATTATAGTGATTGTTAGGCTTTGCATCATCAATTGCAGTTCCTTGTGATTCTCATGCTCTATTGATGAATTCACTGCTGCAACCTTGTCGAACTTCTTCTAGATGTGACACTTAGCTCAATCAAGGGGGTGAATGTGTGGTTGACTCACAAACATTTGGGGTAGAGAATGATACTGAGGGCACCATTTAGATTCAATTGGGGACATGTGTGCATGCACAAGCAAATGGCCTCTTCTCTTGTCACAGGGTTGTTATAGTATTGCAGGACCAAATCTTGTTATGTTGAAGTTGAATGGGAATGTACCATGTGCTCTAGTTTGTTATGGATGCCAATGATTGGCTGGGAGTCGGGGTGTAAACGAATTGAGTCGAGTCGAGTAGTGACATTATCTAGCTAAGCTCGTTTACCTCACAGTGGGGTCGAAGTCGACTTGCTCTAAAAATTCGAGCTCGAGCTCGGCTTGATTACTCGATTCAAGCTTGTTTTCGTCTGAAATGCCGACAACTGGAAAGGGAAGAAGACGACGCTTCTATTGACGTCGTGAAGTGGGAAGAAGAAGAAGCTGTGGATGCTTGCGTTTTTTCATTAATTAATGAATGTTGCAGCTTTTTGTCTTTTCCAACCGGTTGCTGTGCACTTATTTTCCAAAAAAAAAAAGGCTGCAGTTTTTTGGTTTGGGAACTTAAATTGAATATTTTATATTCATTTTTTAGAAGTTGCTTTAGGATGCATTTATTATGTGCAGCTTTAATCATTATTATTTTTTAAACATTCAACTTTAATATAAATAATAAATATTAAAAAAAATTAATAGTTATTCGAGCTTGCTCGTGAGCTCGCAAGTCGTGCCTTATTAACTCGAGCTCGAGCTCGTGAGCTCGTTTCCGAGTCGAGTTTGAGCAAGCTTGCGAGCCGGTTCGACTCACTTACACCCCTAGTTTGGAGTGCTCAAATGGTGAGGCCATGAATTGAGAGGCTTAGGTTGAGGTCAGGTTGCTCAGGTCTAGTGATTTCTGATACGTGAATGGCTAGAAGTATCTCAGGGTATTCATAAAAAGCTCTACTGCCAAGCTCAATTTGGGGTAGGATGCTTGAGAGCTCAATCAAGCCATGGTTTATGTTGAACCAACCCAATTAGGCTACATGGGTTTGTTCAAGTTGGTCAAACCAGCTTAGGCAAGAATATCTAAATAAATTCAGGTTCAAGTTGGTTTAGTTTATCTTAATTGAACTCCGAGGTCGTCCAAATCAGTTAACTTAAATTCTTATTAAGTAAACCTAGGGTCAACTCAATCTTGATTAAGTTCAATAGGTTTTAAGCGCATCTAAGCCACTAAGGACTTTGGGTCTATATTATGATAATATAGGCCAAGATTAATTGGACGTAAACTAGATTGATTGGGCAATAAATGGCCTTAGGTTCCCTTAGATTAATCCAGGTTCAGGTTTGATTAGGGCTAATATGGATTGGCCAAGTCAGTGTCTGAAGGGCTCATTCCACCTAATGGGGACTAAAAAGTCTTTGGGTCCAATTAGGTAAGACAATTCTAGGTTAGGATTCTATTGATTCAATCAAAACTTAGGTTCCAATTGGCCTAGTTCTTGGGAAAACCAGGGGTCTACCATTTGATCCATTATGCCACATATGATTAGATCAATCTAGTGGGGTCTGTAATAAGCATGAATGCATTGGACATTAAAAATAGGATCCATGAGACTAAACTAAAGTGGACCCATATGGGCTTGGCTCCGTTGAGTCAAAGTCAAGGTTGGGTTTGATTAAAATGTATAAGTGGGACTTCAGAATATGACATAAACCAAATAGTTATTAAATTTGTATTTTGGTAAGGGTTGTTGGGGCTCTTGTGAAAATATATTTATGAAAGGATTGTAAGTCTAGTAATATCCATGGCAAAATTGCAATCTTTATTTCAATTTTGTGTGGATTTTTAGTTTGTATGAGTGTCCATTAATCTTTTTAATGTGATGATGCATGACTTGAGAATGTTATATCGAGATTTCTGAAGTCCGCAAAATTTTGTTCAAGCTGCGTCTAATTACAGATATGATTCTTTATTAGATTTAAATGAGAATTTGATTTTTAACAGGACACAATAGAGAAAAATGATTCATATAGCCGACCCCATGTAGTGGGATAAAGGCTTGTTGTTGTTGTTGTTGCGTCTGATTATAGAATTTTAATGCTGAACTATGTAGGTTTGTTAAATCTGATTTCATTTTTATGTTGCAATGTATTCAAAGATAATATTTGGGATCTTATGGTGCTCCTATCTTGCAGATATACGTGTAAAGGAACCTTCAATCGAGTCATTATGCAGGTATATTCCATAATTATGATTTTTCCTGAAAGACTTTGTACCATATTACCATATTTGTGTTGTGGAAGAAGGCTAAAGTGAATTTCACCCGGAACCATTGATCCATTTTTTGTAGTTATCATTTTTACATACTAAAATCTTAGAATTTCTTTATTTTATGTTTTTTCTTATGATCCTTCTTATGTCTGACTATTCATTTCCAGGGGAAGGAAGTGTTTTGAACCACCAAGATTCATGACGATCAACACTGCTATAGAGCAACTCTTGGAAGTAGAGGAATCACTTGGAGTATCTGGTATATTTCTTAGAGTCCTTTCTTTGCCTCCCACACTATTTACAAAATTTGAACATTATGATGATTGACAAACAATTAATTTTTATTCCGTTTTGTATAACTAATTGAATGTTTTGTATAATATAGTTTAGGGGTGTCAATATTTGACACGACCCAAAAAATCGAGTCGGGTCGGATTCGGGTTAGGGATTTTGATCCTTTCATAAAACTGGGTTGGATTGATCCAGAAACCTGAAATCAATCTGATTTGACCCGTTTTTAATTGATTTAGGAGGGTTTTAGAAGATTGTTATGAAATAAGTAAATGCTATTTAAAAAATAATAATAAACCATGTTGCCCAAACTGAATTAAGCTTTGTTTATTTTAAATTGATTGTGGTAAATCTTATATTAATTCGATTTAGATTTAAATAAATCAAATTAAATAAAAATATTTTAGTAAAACATACCCAAAGTGGGTCGGGTTCGGGTCTAAAAAATGGACCCGTTTGCAAAAACGGGTCGGGTGAAAAAGCGTCGGGTCAGATTCGGATTCGATTCGACCCGAACCCGACCTGAAACCCGATTTTGTTATAGTTCATCAGCCACCAGCTACTGTCTGGTAAATGCATACTTCATTCATAAACATTTATACCTCTTTGCACGTTATATATATATATATATATATAAGAACAGAAAACTTTTATGTGATATCATTCATTTTCTGTCAGCTTACGGTGAAAATTCAAGATGTGTTGGTCTTGCTCGCCTTGGCTATGAGGATCAAATGATCGTCGCCGGTTCCATGAAAGAACTGCTTGACGTTGATTTTGGTGCACCTCTTCATTGCCTTGTGATTGTCGGCCATACTCATCCTGTGGAAGAAGAGATGTTGGAGTTCTACTCAATCAAGTAAAAGTTCCAAGTTCTGCAGCTTCATAGCTTTGTATGGCTTTTTACTGATATTGGTTTGCCAATTATGTGGCCTGTATTTTCTGCCTGTTGTATCATAATTTAGTTTAGTCATAATGATATTTTATTTCATCGTATATGTAAAGACAAGTCAAATCAGCATGGATTATGTTAAAGAAATGTATTTATGAAAATAATTTGAATGGGAGATGCCTGATAAATTTGTTTGTAGAGCTTGGAAGTCCTTGGAACCATGAAAGATGAGCATTCCAGGCTTGCAGCTAGTGACCATATGTCCATTCCACGAGAAGTTATTTTGTCCGGACTGTACACACTGTGTACAAACAGTGTGTACACAGTTGAACCAAACTGTGTACAAAATTATATGGTGTACACTGTATACTTACAATCTAGACGGAAAAATTTTGTCCGGACTCTGTACGGAATAATTTCTCGCATTGCACAGCTAAATGATTGAACATTCCTAAATTAAAGCCCACAAGAGAGTAAAATAATTGCTAAAAATAACATCACTGTTGAAAAAAAAAAATGATTAAAAAGTATTCATTTGATAGAAAAAGATGCTATAATAATAGAAACAACATTCCATACAGAATAATCATGGTAGTATGGTTCTCTTTTGTCAGATGCAAAGCTTATCAACTTCATTCGAAAAGGAGAATGCTTCCAGAAGAGCTCTGATCATCTTTGTTATAAAGACAATCTGCAAGTTGGCTTCACACATCCCAGAAACAGCTAGCCATTTAAAAATTCTTTACTGGAACAAAAAATAACAATCAAAAGTAGGAAGCCAAACCTCCAATGACAAGTTTTGAAGATGGCATGTGTTAATGCTTGATAGACATCGGATAGTTTGGAGATTAATTAGAGCGCATCGTGTCATCCGGTATACAGCGTTTCCAGCACTCGTACCAAACAAAAAATATGATATGTTGTGTTCTGATTGATCTTCGGATGTCATCTCGAATCCACACATAGACTTATGGGTGAGATAGTACAACTTGGGGAAGGAACTCATATTTTTATTGGTAAAAGGTACTGCTCAAAACGTTTAATAATAATTATATATTATATAACTAGTACAGTGTAGGCACATTTACATTTAGGCTTCATTGTTTTATAAAAAAAAAATATTTTACGGGAAACTTCTCGCGGAAACTGTCCTCCGACCCAAAAGCCGTTCACAAAGCTACGGAGAGGATCAGGATGGAGAGGTCTCAAGCCGCTACTCCTCCATCTCGAAGTTCCTTGCGGTGGGCGATTCTTCGCCAGGCAATCAAAGGCCCAGCCTCTCCTTCCGTCAATGGTACTCTTCCCATGCTTTCTCTGCTTTCTATTAGCTTAAGATTTGATTAATTTCTCCGCGTTCAATGCGATCTTTTCAGTCGAATACTGCTCAGAAGCCAAAAATTGAATGTTAGAAGACACTGAACATCTATTTTGCAGACTTTGAGCATCAACAAATGTCGTATGCTCGGATACGAACGTTTACTGTGATGTTTGATGAGTCAGTGAGTGCTACGGTGGTCATCTGATGGCTTTAGAAGTTGTCAGGACCCTAGAATTCTCTGTTATTCCTAAGCACTCCTAGAATATAGTAATAATAAAGAATAATAAATGATTTTGAGGGGATAATTTGACTCTTATTTTGAATTATTATGGAATATTTTTCTTTCTTGTCAAAAATGGGCGCACTAAATTGTGCCCTTAGTTGATTAAAAACTGACTAGATGATGTTCCCTATGGTCGACCTGATTAACTGGTGGAGAGTATTGTTGGGTAACTGATTAACTGGTGGATGGTGATGGGTTCGATGGGAAATTGTTCAATCACTAAATGAAAGGTCATCTCAAAACTCTTGATGCTCTGAGTGCAAAGAGTTGATAGATAAAAAATCCGACAATTGAAATGCTTGGAACAAAGTTTGGAGCATAGAATGTATTTTATCTCACCAAAAATGATGGTGATTGGGCGCAAATGTGGTATGAAATTGTTCATCTCGACAAGTGCAAACCAACATCGTTAGCGACTTGTCAATTAGATGTCTGTGCAAGTCATATTAATTTTGCTAAGGTTTAGGGATCATATTTGGTATTGGAAAAAAATGATGACAAAACTTCTCCATTTTTATGGTGAAATATTCTCCTCGAGAGTAAGTTTGATGGCTAAAAATCTCGCTAATAGAACATATAGATAGAAAACTATTTTCCTAGAGAGCTCGTTTAACCTTTGAAAGGAATTAAGTTGCAGTTTGAACAAAACTTATTAATGAGCTCACGAGTTGAGTTTATCGAGTCACTAGCTTGAGCTTAGCTTACAACTCAAATATTATACAAGCTCTAGTTTGAGCTTAAAGGGACTTGACTCATTATGTGCCTGATCGATTAAATCTTAAATCCTATATCCTGTTTCTACACATTTTTTTAGGTTAAATTTTGAACACTCACAAGTTGCATGAACTTCAATTTTTCTTCTTCAATCATCACTAGTCCCATCAATGCATTCTCCAACTAGATCTCATTGCGACTTCCTTGTTGTAGACATTGATGCCTTCTTTAATGAGCTCCCACCATGGCTTCCTCACCATTTCATCATGAATGCCTTCACAAACAAGCTCTCGCTATGGCTTCCTCGCCATCAATGCCTTCCCCAATGAGCTCTAGTCGTGACTTCCTTAATCAATGCTTTCTTTAGTGAGCTCTCATCGTGACTTCCTTACTTCTTTGTCATTGAGGCTTTCAAGGATTTAGAGGAACTCATGCTTGAGCCTTCATTTGATACAATGAATTGAGCTTGAGCTTGAGCTTGAGTTAGGTATGTCTCGAGCTTGACTTAACTCTTTTACACCCCTACCCTCAGCATGCTCATCAGCTTTAACATCCTTATTGAGATTACAATAAGTAGGATGATTTCCAACATGTACAAAAGCTCTTTGTAGTCAATGAGGAATATTTAACAAGCTTTTCGATCTCAGGATATCTAAAGGAGCTTATGTTAGTGAGTACGCCATTGAGTTCAAATCAATAATGAGATAGTCAAACTCTGTGAACATCAATTTTCATGATGATATCAATGCTTTAAGTTTGCTTTCATTACAACCTAAAAGTTGGATGACATTGTAACGACCTCTAACAATTCCTATGGGTCGTCTACAATGAAGCTTAGCGACATCAAAGATCTCATACCACCGAGGCATTAGATGGCATGAGAATGGTGAAGATTTATCTTCTTCTATTTAAATGTTGAAAATAGAAGCATGTCATTGAACAAGGGCTACAATTTAGTTGAGATAGATCTAAATCGATGGAGAGGATCCAATCAAAAAATTGCATCGATGCACTCGCAATATGGCATGAATGACTACATGAAAAAGGGTTTGCCCATAGGGCAATGATGGACATTGTTCAAACTAGGAGGATTCTACAAATGTTGCATTATAAGAGACCTAAAATGCACTGATCTTTAGAATGGATAGTTTGAAGGAGTCTTGTATATTGGGCTCAAATTTGTTTGTTCATTCTAATCTATATAAAGAGTTTATGATGAATTATTTTATAGGAGATTTTGAAAATATTCATCTTGCTAATTAATGGTGAACTCTTGGATGCTGTAGGAGTTGGTGATATATCAATAAAAATGGGTAATAGGATATTTGGAAGCTTCAAACAATCAGGCATGTTCTTGGCTTGCAAGAAGATCCTAATTTAAATAAGGCAACTTGATTAGTTAGGCATATCGCAAGCTTTTGAAACAATTCCATGAAGATGACTTAGGGTATTGTGTTGATAGCATGGGATAGCAAAAATGACACTTTGTACATGACAAGAAGCACTAGCATAATGGGAGCCACCGTGAAATCCAACACTGTGGATTTTGGAGTTTCCAAATGACAAGATGGCATTGCAATGTGAGCGTTTTTTCATAATCGATAAGCATTATGTTAACAAGACAAAGATAATGGTAAATGATGAAAGATTTTCTATTGATGCACTAAGGCACTATATAGCCTCATTTAAGCCCCAGGAAGGATTAAGAGGAGTGCCACATAAAGTTGATTCTCTCTCTTGAGTTTGCACATCAAAAAATAATTTCCATGTCGGAAAGTTTGAAGATGATGCGTGATTTATTTTCTCAAATTAAGATCTCTCTGAATCTTGAAATATGGAAAAGTCAAATTATTTTGTCTTGATGGAAGATTGAATTTACTACCAAATTTATTTATTCAGATCTCAGGGGCGGAACCCCTTCGTTGCTAGGGGGGGCAAATTTTCTTTTTTATTATACTCTTATTTAGGTAGTTTTTAGTCTTTATTACAAGGGTTTTTAGGTAATTGCTCATCTAAAAATGTTAAAATATTATAGTCTTTAGGCAATTGCCCCCAATATTATTAAATACATTATGTAGATGTGTTATTGTTAGGGAATGATAAACCAAATACAAAGAGAAATAATAAATCAAAATTTGTTCGGGGGCAGCCCCGTAGGGGCACTGTCCTTTGACCCGCGGCCTGACCGGGCAGGTCAAACCCCGCCAGGGGGCGCTGCCCCCTTGGACCCTCGACATATATGCGAATAGTTACTTATACGTTTGCCCCCCCTGAAAATTATGGCTGGTTTTGCCCTTGACAGATCTTATGATATTTGGGTTTTAATCCATGAATATTTTCTCCATTTGGTTATTTAGCTTCCTAACAAGTTTGTTTTCTATCCACCACCCTTGCTAAACTTCAAAAGGATATGGTTTTGTTCTTTAATATGATGAGTAATAGTAGTCCCGGTGGAAGGCAAAATCACATTTGTTGTAAGCTACATATCGGGTTCACTCAATTGTTGTTCTTAGTATGTAGACATAGACTGTGAGGTTGAGGCATGTAGAAAGGTTGATAGCATTTAAATGGTGATGGATCTTGGCGGTTTGATGATAGTAAGAGGTTGAAGAAGGCCAATGGTTCTTTGCGGAAAAGACTTTCTCATGTTGCTTTTATAGGTCATTGGTGGTGAGGTTTTGTTAGGTTAGTTACTGGCAAAGCAGAAAGTCGGTCGCTATTGTAGAGGTTGGTTTGCAACTATTATTGGTTTTGGACAAGATCGTTGGATGGATAGCAACGTCATAAGTCAAAAGGGCTCACACTGGGCCTGATAATTTCTGCCTCCAACTTCTTTATGATGAGCCTCTCTATCTAATCCTTATAAATATGCGGTATTGATACGGTCGAACATTGATAGGATAAATCCCCTCCTTCAAGGTAATGCCGTGCTCGTGCTTCCGGGGGTAATCCACTAGGTTGCTGAAAAAATATAAGGAAACTGCAGGAGCTGTTGTACACACTCAGGGGCCTTGGCTAGCTCTAAATCTTTGACCTCCTCTAGGCTCTGTAGCTCCACCAAGTAGCCCAACCCTGCTCTCTATATCGCTTTGACCATGATTTTGAGTGAAATCATAGTTCTACATAGGCTGACATCTCCTCGTAGCACCACCCTCTTCCCTTCCACCTGAATCTCCATAGTAACAAATTTCCAGTTCACCTTCGTTTCCCCTATCGTTTGTAACCACTTCATCGCTAGGATTATATTAGTGCTCTCCAAATCAAAGGGAAGAAAATCCTCTACTATCTGTATGTCTTGGAGTGTCAGCACCAACCTCCTGCAAATCCCCCTATTCCTCTCCACTCTTCCTTTTCATATCATGTCTCCAAAGTTCCTCGTATCCACCAACTCCAAACCCAACTGATCCACAACCTGATTTGAGATGAAGTTGTGAGTAGCCCCGCTATCCATCAAGACCACCACTGACTGCTTCTTGATTTGTCCCCTCACCTTTATGGTGTGATTTGGAGTAAATCCCATCACCGAGTTTAGAGACTCTTTTACCACATCAAGGTGTAGGTGTTCTCTTCCCTCGTTTGCTTCGTCACCCAACTTCTCATTGTTGGTCTCCTTCTCGTCACAAACCATAAAGACCTTGAGTGTGTGGTCCTTGCACCGATGACCAGGTGCATAATTCTCATCACATTGGAAGCACAAACCCTTCGCTCTTTTGTCCCGCATCTCCACCTCTCTGAGGCACTTGAAGTTGGCTCCATGACAAACTCCCCCACTCTTCTCCCTTGGTGCCTCTCACTAAAAAGACATAGTCTGGGTCCTCGGTGCCAGTGAAGTCAAGGTACTTTTGTAGGAGCCTCCTGTGACTCCACTCTTACTAGTCTTCTCCATCTCTCTCCAATCCTCCGCTATTTGGGCTAGCTCTATCGTCTCTCTCAACCCCCTCGGTCTCAAGAATCAGAGGTTTGCCCGTATGTCAGGATTCAGGCCATTCATGAAATTTTCCTCTAATATGGTCTTTGAAATCCCTCTCATCTATTCCGACAACAACTCAAATCTCTCCTTATACTCCATGACAGTTCCTTTCTGAGTCAGGGTAAAGAATTGCTCATGTAGGTTTCTTTCTCAAATGGCTCAGAAACGTTCAACAAGCAATCTTTAAATTCTCCCAAGATTGGATCGGATATGTAGCCTCCCTCCATTGGAACCAAGCTAGGGCTTTCCTCTCTAGTCGTAGCCCTGTGGCCGTAAGCTTCTCCTTTTCATTCAACCCATTAAATGCGAAATACTTCTCCACCCAGTACACCCATCCACGAGCATCATCCTCTTTAAATATTAGCATCTTTAACTTCCTCACCCTAGTATCTCTACTCCAACTTCCCCTCCCTCCAACGGTTCCCCCGTGTCTCGAGGGTGGGTTTCCTACCTTTTTCCTCTCCTCCTTACATGAACTGGTCCCCATGGCTTGGCTAGACCATCTCCATCTCCGTTAGCCCATTCCCCTTGCCCGAAATGCCTCCCATAGTGGTTGGCCACCCTACTACCTCCACCAAAAAATTTCCTCCTTACTCTCGCCCCATCCAGGAACCCTGATTTACCCCTTATCGGAGCCCTAGTAGGTGGTTTTTGATGAAAAAAAAAAAATCTCCTCGTCAAACTCCTCCCATATGAACTCTTTTCCCTTAGATTCAACCAAGGGAATCCCAACCAAATCTTGGTTAAGGTTAGCAATCAGCATCGTCGGTGGACTTTTTGATTGCAATTCCATGAGCTTCCTCATCATCTCCTCCAACCCTCCAAATTGGCTCTCCATCCGATTTTTCGTGGTTGAAACTTTCCTTCGATGGTTAAGAACTTCTCCTTTATCCCGGATTTGATTTTCTCCACTTCGCCTTCCAACACACCCACCTTTTTTGCTGCCATCTCTCCAAAATTTTGCTTTGATACCAATTTGATACATCTTGGAAGTAAAAAACAGCAAGTAGATGAGAAGAAAAAATGCAGGAACACAAAGATAAAATCTGATTTTTTATTTCTCCTTCAATAATAATGCAAGATACAATTGAACTACTATTCAAGAGGTAGATCAGCTCTCTCACAAATCTTAGCCGCCGCTAGAAACCTTGGACAAACCCCATAAATAAAATTCAGCAAACAAATGATCCTCACCCTAAGACAAAACTCCCCCTTAAATTGCCCTCACACACGATAAACATAATTGGAACCCTCCTAATTAGCATAAATACAATTAGAAAACCTCACTAAACCAATTAAACTGGCACTTCGTAAGCGGGATAGGATAAACTAACCCAAACTTTTCTAAACAACATAATCATAATTAGGAAACCTTTCTAAATAGCTCCGGCTTGATTCCTCCTTACATAATGAATAATAGCTCCATTGGGCCCCACGAGGGGGGGGGGGCTGGTATATCAATTTGATGTGTACTTTTTCCTAGCATTGAATTTGACCACTAAAAAAAAAGATTTGGCGAAAAGTGGGAACGTGGGATAATTCAGCAGGAAATGGAAGTAGAGCTGAGAACATAAAGAGTTACAACTAATTGTACTTTCCATGCAGTCAATCTTATAGGAGTATCAAGTTTCTTTGTCAGTATCCTATTGGTGTTTGTTGCAGTGATGGCATAACATTGCCTAAAAGATGTGGCAATAGCCTGTTTTCTTCTTCTTCCGCCTGTAATATTTGCTTCTTGTCTACCGTATGTAATTTATCCCTAGCACTCTCTCATAAGTTATACTTTTACCGTGGCTTTCTCCTCTTGAATTTGGAATCATGCTACTCTGCGAAGTATTAACTGTTTAAATGAATTATTTGTCTAGAACTTTTAACTTGAGTTGGTATCTGCACAAAAACTATGAATTTTGTGCCATATATTTACTTTTAGATTATTCGGTCATGTTTCACAGTGCAGAACTTGTGGTATCCCGTCAGTTCTTGAAATATCAAATGCTTTGATATTTCTTTTATTACTCATTCCTAGGCTATGAAAATTATCCCTCGAAGGGCATGTAAGCATTTATCAGCGTATGCACTTTTACTCGATTTGTTTTACCTTCTTTCATACTGCCCTTTTCCACATTGAGATATAATATTTTGGGTTTCGCTTTAGACCTAACCCTTTTTTACTTTAACTTCTAAATTTGGGTTTTGACCTTTTAGTTGAATGGTTGGAAATATGACAAAAAAAAAAAAAAAAATCCACGCACTCATTCAAGTCTACCAACTTGAAGCCTTGCCATTTGGAGTTGCTCTAGAATTATGCCTAACATCTTTAGAATGAAATCCTTTCTGTCAGGTGATCTCAACCTCAAATATGGGCCAGGAATTACATATAACACCTGTTTTTCTGTGTTGGATTTTCAATTTAGAATATGTTATGCTAATAATTTGTGTTGATTGGGCCGCCTTCCCTGGTGCTTGAGTAGATCTCTGTTCATGGCTTGTGATGTTTAGGATTAAATTTCAATTTGCTCCACTTTTAGCTTATTATGATGTTTTTGCAGATCATTCAATTGAAAGATGCACCAAGGACGTATCTAGGAAGACTCCAGGTGGCTTCAAACTGATCTCATGCTGTCCTTTAAATGGAGAACTTCACTCACAGAAGAACAAATTTCAACTTGGTACAAATGAACTATCTGTCTGCTATACATTGCCTATTGACGGAGAGAAAGAACTTATAATGATGTAAGAACTTAAACCTTTTCCATTGAACTGCTTGTTCTCTAGTTGTTTTCATGTGAAATAGAAATATTGACCGGAAAAGTGGAAAATGCATTGGGGCAAACCTGATTCCCTGATAAGCAAAAAGGGTCGGTTTTATGGTATTGTTGTGGAGGATTGAAAGCAACGGCTTTGATTTCACTTTTTCTGTTAAACCGTAGGGGAGAAAGTGATAGATTGATATTTTGAAGTGGTGAGTATTCCAAAATATTGTAGAGCGCTATAAAAGATGCGTGGTTTTGATCTCAAAAATTTCTTCAGGTTTCTTCGATGCGTACACGTGTAATTGTATTACCAGAAACTCTTCACATATTGTACTATCTAAAAGTGCAAATTTTTTAGCTGTATCAAAACCTAGGGTGCATTGTTGCAAATAAACTACAACCTAATGCTTGAAGCTCTTACCAGCGCAATATTTGGTGGGATTAGTGCATGCCATCTTACCCTTGTATTAGAAAGCGGTGTTTTCAGTGATATGAATCAATGGTCTTTAGGTCACAATCCTCTAACTTAACCATAGCCCCAGGCTTGCACTCTTCTAGTTTTTATTATAAATTGTGTCTAGAGCAGGGGTGACACAGGATCATAATGGTCCACTAAATCTTGATTGTTAGTTTTAGACGCGTCTCCATTTAGTTTTTATGCATGTGTTATTTTTTTGTGTTAAATGTGTAAAAGGACATTATATTTTACCATGTAGTTCAAGTTGTTTTAAATATGTATTGTGGACCATATTTTATATTAAGGGTACCCTAGGATCATAAAAAATTATTATGATGGCATATTGAATGAATTGTGTCTCTCAAACCTATATGTCAGCTTCTCTTTTTTCATATCTTTACTCTTTTTTGTCTCTCTTTTCAACTATCATGACACAAGCCTGATTATTAAACTATAAATTGGAGACACTTATCTTCTACACCTACCTTTTTTAGTCCAACCTTCATTTACACAATGATCCTGGTCAGAGCTTATACAAGAAATTGACGTGGCATCTGAGTTTGATGAACTTTTAGTTACTATTGTTGCTTCGTAGTCTTTACAAATAGAGATATAGGCTTTGTCTCAACCTCTTGCACTACTCCTTACTCTATTACATATTGGCTTTGTCTTTCTACATCTCACACCATTAGATTGTTAGATACGTGCTCATACAACATTTGGAGGTTTCCAGGCTTTTCACCAACTATTGAGATAATGCACATGATGCTTTTGGGTTCCCTATGTTATGATTTACTTTTCCAATCATACATATTCACTTTGTACTACCACTTTTGCCATAAACATGCTATTGTAATTGATCTAATTTGTGGTGTGTGTTGACATCTAACTCTGAAACATCGAGATTGTTTGTAGGTTGATTACTGACTGCTACCTGCCCTAGTCTTTCATGGTTATCGATTACCATCATGTCCGCCTGACTGCAATATCTATATACTAAGCGTTTCCAATGCATAAAGCGCAATGCAATGTATAATGATTTTTTAAAGCACAGCGTGCAGTGCTAAACAACATTTTTATCTACTAGAGTGTTCATAGCTTATTTAAATACGCATAATTATATTATTTGTATCACATTCATGCTTATGATTATATTTATTATAAGTAAAAATTAGAGCAGTTCATTTACTTGAAAGTGTTAGGCTTTTATTGCCACTTATATATAAAACCAAACAAAATACTTAGAATATGCTTAAAAATGTACTTGAAAAATTTGAAAGAAGATATGATTACGTTAAAAAAATAATCTCATAATATTTAAGAAAAATACTTGTTTATTTTGAGTTGTAGAAGTTAGGTAGAAGTTAGCTAGAAGGTCCACGTTGCTATAGATTACTAGTATATATAAAGAAGAAAGAGTTAAGACGATGGAGGTCTAATTAGTGCGAGGTTGTAATGTTCTTGTGAGGTCAGGGCTGCTGGTTGAGGGGCGAGGGGCAAAGGTCGAGTGGTTGAAGATGAGGTCTAATTGGCGAAGGTTGAGGGAGAGAAGCTCGAAGCTATTGGTTGAGGGTGAAGGTTTGAATGGCTGGTGGAGGGCTAGTTTATGAAGGCGGAGCTTCTTATATAAAAATAAGACAAACAAGTGATTGAACCTGGCCAAGTCGATAAAAAAAGCCTCTAAGCTCGTAAGCCATGACCTACAATAACATTGTACTTCATTCACGCTTTGTATGAGCTTTCGCGCATAAAGGAAGAATTAGCCGTTTTGTTAATTTATGTTGTGTGTGTTCACGGTGAAGCAGAGAAACCTCTTATCACAATGCTTCAATGGGGAAGCATGGTTTTAACAAGCTTGTGTCTACTTTAGAGTGTACCTTGAGAGATGCACACGCTTTAGAGTGTATCTTGAGAGATGCATAATCTTGTTCTACCTCCGTCTCCGACATGGCCACCTTCCAACTCTTCAAAGAAGAGTCTCTTCAAGGTGAAATGTTGCATGATCATTATGATCGAACGAATCTAGGTTGTCAGCTTTTAGCTATGTTCCCTTTGAGTATTTATGAATGTTTTTTATATGTTGAAGTGTTAAATATCTATTAAGAACACAATATATTTGGCATATTGGTTCAAGTTATTTTTAGCGTATATTGAGGACTCTATTCTATATAGAGGGTGCCTTAGAATTGTAATTACGATAACTATTGAATGAATTTGGTCGCTTAAACAGCTCCTTTTTATGTCATCTCTTTTCCTCCACTTCTTGATCTCATTTCTCTCTGTTGGTCCCTCCTGTCAGCATCCATTCATGTTTTCCTTTCTATTTTCACTTCCTGCAGCTAGGCTTTGGTGTGTCAGTGTGTAGGTGACTGAGGATGAGCTTTTGGGTATGCTTATTTAAAGAATAGAAATTTTTTCGTTTTGGAAATGGATTGCAAACTATAATACATGATCACTGCTTGCCTGACCAAGATAACATGGGAAATATGCATCTTCAATGTTGCACTTTTAACCATTGCTCCCTTACCAAATTTGGATGATGACAGGTTGATGTTGATTCAGTTAGATTTGTAATTGAGATTTGCTATTGGTGCTGTGCTTTTGTCGGAAATTGTCAAACAGATTAGCTTTAGATTGTCTGATTGAAATTTCATTTAGTAATTGGTATGCTTCAAGGAGATCGATTCATTGTTGTATGGAGAACAATGATAAAGGTACAATAGTGCTTGGACTTTACACACTACTAATGTTATAAAGTGGAAAAACATTCTCTCCTGTTATCTTCATCTTAAATTCTAGCTCATTTAAGTAATGCAACGGTTAATTTGCTTCGTATGGCAGATAACATTCTCTCCTTATGCTGATGGAGATTGATTGAACACCTCGTGCTCTCATAATTCTTGTTTCATTTTTCAATAGAAGGAAATATGGTCCAGGATGAGCTATAAGCCTATAATTGATATTCTCAGGAGGTGTAAGATTCTTCTGTTGTTTTTTTCCGCATGAGTATGCTATGTAACGTGGATTTATGTAAAAAGAGTGCCATTTCTATGCCCGATACCTTTTTCATTGGTTACTCAGATTATAAGTCTTGGATATGCCGAATGAGTTATCTGACTGAAAAAATGTGAGAAAAGGTGGATATCTTCTCAAAGATGTTTAAAATTTGCATAATTATTTATGAAATAAAGAAGTAGTGATACTTACAAGATTAATTAGATGAGATATGGTGGTAGATGGTGTTGCTATTCTTATAAGATGGTTATTTATTACTAACTACTATTTTTATTTATGTGATTGCTAACTAATTGTGCAGATATATATGAAGATGTTTTTTTTATTGTGTTTGCATGTGTGCAATAATGTTGAATACTTTTGTGCGTGCATTGATATGTAAGGCATATCAATGCATGCGGCTTTCTAGTTCCTTTGGGGTTTTAGGAGGGATTGATGAATGTGAATGTACCTATTCATACTCATGCATTTCAATGTATGCATGCGGAATAAGTGTTTATAGTGTTCATACCATAGCTTTTTAATCTTTCAATTTTATGTTGCAGTTGATATATTGGTAGACACTTCAGTCTTTTGAATTACTTGTTTACAATTGGGATGTTAGAAGAGCGATCACATCATGATTTTATTTTAAATTACTTCATCATTAGAGCTTCAATCAGGTATCTGATTTTATTGAGAAAAAAATATCAAAATGGTCCCAGACTATTTAATGTGTGCAATTGAATTTTTTAACCCCTCATATGTGATCTAAAATAGTACTCTTCAAATCTAATAAAAACTAATCTGATAATGGATTATTTTAGATCAAATTTGAGGAATCAAGTGACTAAATTGAACATATTTATAGTCTAGGATTAAAATGGCTCTCTGCAAATAGTTCAAGAATCATTTTGACATTTTTCTCTGAATTTATTGGAATAGCTAGCCACAGAGTAGTTGAGGAGCATGTTTAAGCACTGTAAATTGAGAACTTATATTTTTTACTAAACCAATCACCTTCTGCAAAAATATTGCAGCCGGAGGTCGGACGATTGTATTGATCTCGATGATTTTAAAATCTCCAACAAGTTTGGCATTGATACCACAGGTTTAGTATGTAAGTCATACCGATGCTTCATTGTAATTATTATTGCATAATATTTGGATTCGAACAACTTTCTTTTTAGCAGAAGATCATTTTTATCTTTATGCATGCGGTATTCCATTTCCATTCTGTGAGTAGAAATACACTTTGACTGCAGAAGTAGCGCTCAACTATTCCGTGAGATATTATATTCTGTTCCCAGCCCAAAAATGTTGATCTAAGCAATAATTACTAATTGCTGTAGTGGCTAAACCTTTTGTCTTAAAAAAAAAAAACGCATGCATCTGCTGTTTAATTTTTTTTAATGTTGTAATTTGAGTTCAATTTGAGTTCAAAATGGCGGCCTTCCGATGATGCAATTAGGAAAGCAGAGGTATTAGATGTGACTTATGTTAAGAAAGGTAGAGGTAGATCTAAAAAGATTTGGTTAGAAAATATTAGAAATGATCTTTCTTTATTAGATTTAAACGGAATTTGACTTTTAATAGGACACAATGGAGAAAAAAGATTCATGTAGCCGACCCCATGTAGTGGGACAAAGGCTTGATGTTGTTGTTGTAATTTGAGTTCAAACTACTATTTGTTGTCATCGAAGATTTACAATTTGGTCATGCAATGGGATGCATGGATAGAATGACCCTTCATATAGTGTATAGTAAATCTGCTTCATAGTTCAAATTTATTCTTTTTTAGGCTTCGTTGGGTTCTTCTCTTCTTTTGTAAACGGTAGTTTTTAGAAATAATGGTTAAGAAAATGGAGTTTTCTATCGGAGAAGCAAATATCAAAAAACTTCTCAAAACAGTAGAAAAATGAAGTTCCCTAAAAAGTATTTCCAAAGAAACATCCCATCCAACCAACGACAAAAAAAAATTCTTCATTTCTAAACAAGAAAGAATGAAAAAAGCCGAAACAAACGATGCCTTAATGGGAGTATTTCTACTTCAGCATGTAAGCTAAAGGGTATTATTGACTAGCCAAGACAAACACAAAAGAAGCAAACATGCTTCTTTAAGCGTTGCTTGCACACTTGGATGTGCATTTTCTGACAAAATGAAGACTTTACCCTAGTCATTTACAAAACAAAAAAGTTACCCTATATTAGTTTATGCCATTGTGTTTGCCTATTTCTCCTTTAACTGTCCATGTAATTGCTTACCTGGAATTGCTGTTCAATTCTTTGAAGCATTTTCTCTGGGCTTGGCTTTTGAATTTAGTTAGCTTCTATTGCGTTATGCTTATGTAACTAAATCATGAGCAAGTCGCAAATAATTATTTATTTTTCATATAACGGATAAGTTTGAAAACTAGGTAAATTTTGTTGTTTTAGAGAGAAGATGTCTTGATTCTAGGATTTTTGCTACCGTATGCTGAAATAGTTTCATTTATTGTCCTTTAGCTCGGGCATGGATTGCCATAGCATGTAATATTCTGAATTCCAAAGGTTCTAAACTAGAACAATGAATACTGTTTTCATCACCTTGCACCGTCTTTTTTTTTTTAATTTTATTTCTTGAATTTTTTTTCCTTTTTTTATATTGTTTCTTATATAGCCTTATTGTAAGTAATTCTGCTTTCACAAATGCGCACTTAAGAAGTTATCAGTATTAGGTATATATATATATATATATGTAAGTTTTTGCTCTTCTCCCAATTAGATTTCAATGGTATGACTTTCAGATGCATGATCAATACCATTCACTCTTAAACATCGCATGCATAGAATTTAAAATTTTTAATTTCATTTAATTAGTAATCGGATGGATAAAAATTATTGCAATGTCTAATTATATGAGAAAATAATTGTGATTTCAAAGTGGAGAGATTTTTGAATGGTTTGAAAATTGGAACTTAATACGTGAGTTTTTAATGATATTTAGGGTGTATTTAATGTTTTTGATTGGTGAAATATATGGTTCAGACTAGACTTTTAAGAAGGATTCTATGTATCATCTTATCAACCCATGCTTGATGAGTATTTGAATTATTATAAAATTTGATGAAAGTTGATCATCCCAATCTTGAATTTAAAGATTATATAAAGCATTAGGTGCAAAAATAAAATTGGGGTAGGGATTGATCAAACAAATGATTCTGTACTCTAATATAATTTCTATAACTAATCGCTTTTTATGGTGTTGCAGGGTCTTATCTTGATCATATGGACTTGTCTAGCTTGACTTCCTTTGTTTCTTTGTAGGTTGTTGGCCTTCGGAAGAGGTGTTAGCTTATTTTTGTATAAACAATTGTGAAATGTTCAGGTTTGTTGAAGTAATCTTTTTTTTTTTTTTAATATCATATTAGTTTTAACTTATGTTTAAGAGCAGATGCATTTGATTTGACTTATATTAGAAATGACTTTTCTTTATTAAATTTAAATGAGAATTTGACTCTTAACTGGACATAATGGAGAAAAAATATTCATGCAGCCGACTCCACATAGTGGGATAAAAACTTGATATTGTTGTCATTATATCATATCAGTTTTAACTATTAGATCTCTCTAATTGTGCTTGTTTATTTCATCTTTGCAGTATTTTTGCATGTTATTGTTTCTCTCCTTATTTCCTCTCCCATAACAACCATATGTACTCCCCTTCCTATGCTTACTCATCCCCAATCCTTACAACGACTTCTCATGAACACCCAAGTTTAATGGTGGCACTAACACATTTGTTGTAGGACGACTTATTGTTACAATTTTCTAATTCAACTAATATTATGCATAAAATGAATATATGATCACAAGTTATCAAATAATTCAATCAGTTGAAGATTATTCGGATTATCTATAATTCCTCGTTGAATCTTCTAATGTAAGATTCTGATAGTGAGGATAGTTTATCGATTGTAGATTTATAAAAAAGAGGTTAAATAGAGAAGATCTAAATATTGTTAATATGCTCTCGAAATAATATTAAGTCGGACACATTCAAAAATGGATTTATCACTATAATTATTTTGGAATTTCTAATTTGTAGGCATTAGATCTAATTGCAAAATTTTAATGGTTCATGCTTTCTTGCATTCAAGATCGTAAAAGTTCATAATAGAAGCCTTTTTGGAGTTAAAAAAACAATGGCTTTTTCACATAGTTTAAATTTCTCATATTCATGTTATTAAAAAAAATTAATAGTTGTAATTAGTAGCCAATTTTTTGCAAATATCCTAATGCAAATCATGCATATATTGTGTGAAGGATTGTGCAAATGTTTCAAGTATAGATTCTATAAGAAGGTGATACGCCTTGGAAGTAAAAACAACAATTAAAAAAAGAAGAAAGCGCGGGAACACAAAGATAGGGCTAATTTTTTTATTTTTCCTTCAATAATAAAGTAAGATACAGTTGATCTACTATTTGAGAGTAGATTAGCTCTCCCATAAACTCTAGGCACCATTAGGAACTCACAACAACATTAGGAAAATAAACTCAGTAATATCATGATCTAAACCCTAGACAACTCTCCCTTAAATAGCTCTAGAACATCATAGCACAAATAGAATATTCCTAATCAGCATAAACATATTTTAGGAAACCATCTTAAATAATTAGGATCTTCCTAAATAACATAAACACGATTTAGGAAATCTTCCTAATTAAATCCTTCCTAACATACAATAATCATATTTAGAACCTTCATAATTCCCTCCCAATTAAATCAGAGTTCTTTTCCTAATTAAATATTATTAATTTCCTCCCAATCTTGGTCCTCTATGGCAAGTAATTACTCCTCTTTGATCTTCTTGTCTGCCACCCTCCTAGTGGGACCCACCTGCTTAATAGGTCTATTAAGAGCACTTTTTTAAGGCAGGTGGGCCTTTATCCTAACAAGCCTTTGTCCTTTATGTATTGTAAATGGCATAATTTTATTCTTCCTTTTAATATATTGCAAACCAATTATCTACACTTTAAATAATTCTTTCGATTAAATCGCTATGTTAAATGGATGTTTCATGACTTTACTGTTGGATTTGGATTGTATCCCTCAGTTCTAAGAGAACTCAAGGGCAATGGTATGTGAATGTTGTTATTGTTTTTCATGGAGAGATAAATTGTGAATATGTTGACATGAAAGAATAGAAAGTGAAACAAGTGCAGGAATGCAATAATGAAGGCTACAAGACAAAAAATATTTGTGGTCATACATTGTTAAAGGCTACAACAACAACAACACCAAAACATCTTTATCCCACTATGTTGGGTCAGCTACAAGAATCATTTTTCTCCATTGTGTTATGTTAAGAGTCAAATTCTCATCTAAATCTAATAAAGAAAGGTCATTTCTAATATTTTTTAACTAAGTCTTTTTAGGTCTACCTCTACCTTTCTTAACATAAGTCAAATCTAATACATAGAATGCCGCCAACTTTCTTCCTTTTTTTAAACTCTGGAATGGATAAAGCCAAGACCAACTGCCCAAAGATAAAGCCTCAAAAGGAAAAATCCAGAACTCAGCAACCAAGCCCCACATTATCATCCCCCCACATTCACCCCGATGCGTGTTTTTTCTTATGGTTTGAATTTTTTAGTATAGTTGACTGATAAACAAGCTTTATGAAAAGATCCAAGAGAGTTCTTGAACTTGGATCAGGATATGGATTAGCAGGATTGGCAATTGCAGCAAGTACAGATGCTTTTGAAGTTGTAATCTCTGATGGAAATCCACAAGTTATTGATTGTATCCTTCCAGCAGAATAGTCTGTTGATGTTGTTACCACCTTGCGTAACATTGAGAATCTGCCATTAACTTTTAGCCTCTATATAGTTGCTCCTTGAATGCAAATTCATTGGCATTTATGTTCTTTCCAAAAATTTTGGTTAATGGATGATTCCATCATAGATAGTATTGCTAGAGGACAAGCGTGGTTATTGATGGAATCATCCACTAACAAAGTATTTAATTCCTTACTACTGCGCATACCTTTTTTCTCTTTTTTTGTATCCTTCAATTAATCATTGCTCAATTTCTGGTTTGTGCGCACTTTAATTTTTTCATGTATTTGAATTGATCGGCTCTGCATTCAAGTCATATTAAATTTAGTTCTTTGGTTTTGGTTTGTAAACCTATTGCTCCTTTTGTTTGTCCTCTCCTTAACATTCAGATGTTCAGCGCAACATAAATATTAATGCTAGCACTTTCGGAGATACGAAAGTTAAATCAATGATATTGCATTGGATTGAAGAGCTCGACTCAGAAATGCTGTACAACTTTGACATTATCATTGCAAGCGATTGGTACTTTTTTTAATCTTGTTTAAGCAATCCATCCTTTTATTGCTGCCTTATTTCTTTTGCATCTCAGGAGGAATTAGTAGACATCAAATGTGAAATTCTAATATCATAAACTTGCATGAATCTTATGCATGCACTATTAATATGTTTGGAGCTTAGTTTTCTTATGTTTCTCATGCAAATTTGATTTCAAAGTAAATTTAAATCCATGAAAATTTTATAAGATCTAGTAGAAATCTAATTTTGATTTTCAAGTTCGATGACTATTACATTCAATATCAATTTCACATTTTATTTAGCTTCACACCTATCACCTCATAACGCTGTATAAAAAAGGAGAACTGAAAGGGTGGCATGCAACTCTAAGCTTCTCTTTGCGGATGCCAGCAAGGGTAGTCTTGCTTGTGGCACATCTTGAAATTTGTTTGGTTTGGTCTTCGTGTTCTAGCCTAAATACTGCTCTGTTAATGAGGAGAGATTGATCTTTATCATGGTCTAAAATGTGTCTTGGTGTTACGACCCGGCACGACTAGCCTGAATTAACAGGACGGGAATAGACAGTCGTACGAAAAACACATATAACATAAATAAAAGATAACAGTTCATTTAATAAAAGGACATAAACTTAAATGTCATCCAAACAACTTATGAAAGAGCTACTAAACCATCAACATAAAATTTTTCAATAACTTTTTCAAAACACAACCACTAAACACATAAACATAAATATAAACTCCAATAGACTCCTCAATACAATCCACTGACTCGATACACATAACAGAAAATATAAAACCTTTCTTCCTGAGACCCTCTACGATGGTAGGTGTACTGTCGTCTCGTTGGTATCACTTCTTAACACTATCTCTTGAAAAATATTTTCAATAGTAGGATAAACCAACGCTCAACAGGTGATAAACATTTATCTTAAATTTATGAAATATTTTTCTTCTTAAACATGTCTTTAAGCATGAAAATGAAATAATAAAAGATCATAATAAACATTTATATGTATAAATTATAAGACATTTCCATAATCATTTTCTTGAAACATTTCCCTTAATCCTTTTTCCCATAAAGTTTCCTTTCATGATTCTTTAAATCCTTTCATTAAATGCATAAATTACATAATCATATTATATAATAAGCACCCATCCCGGAAGTACCAGAGTTTTGTACTGATATTTGTACACAGTCATTGGCCATTCCTTTATCATTTGGCTCCGTAGAACCGGATCATCATGCACATGCAATTCATAATACTTATATTCATCAAGGAGACTAAAATTATTCATTAGCTCATATGTTCTTCAACGTGTAATAATTTAGTATCACTTATGCCTTAAGTTTGTTTAACTAGCTTTAACATTTCTAATATCATGCCATAAGTATAAGCAATAATTGAAAAGCTAAAGCAATAATAAAGAATTCATAAACCTTAACTTGTAAATTTTGAAAGTGCAGTATTACTTTAATTAAATTTTATGAACTTAATTTAAATATAACCACCTACCTCATAAGTATTGAACAACAACCACTACGATGCATGACGTTGCTTAACCACATGTCATCTTTTTAATCCTCACCTAAGGATATTTACCAATGAACTAAGCATAAATCATAACTATTTTCAATAATTAAGGTAATTAAAATTCTATTTTCGGATTTATTAAAAATCCAATTTTTAGGAAACCCTAAATCATCAAGCCAAAATTTTCCCTAAACCTATTTTAATAATTACCTTAATTATTTTCGAATTTAATTAATTAGAAAATTATGAAAAATATAATTTTTACCAAAAATCTAAATTTTCATCATTAAAATACTTCTAATATCATAAGAAATAAAAATTATAAAGGAGTTTGTTTAAAAATCATAAATTACGAAAAACCCTAATTTTCAAAACTCAAAATAATTTGAGAAAATTTTGTTTCTACCATTAAATCATCTCCCTAAATTTTCTCTATTAATTTCGTAAAGAAATTTTGGAAGAAACAAATGTTTTTGGAAAAATTCTAAAAACTTCATTTCCAAATTTCTTGAGAAAGAGAGTTTTACTTCAAACAAAACATACCTTAATCTTCCCCTTGACTTCCTCTTCGATTTACACTTTCTCGTCGAAAAAACGTCACCGGAGCCGCCGTTGAAGAGCCCCGTCGCCCTTGCTGTCCGTCCGCTCCCTTCTTCCGCTCGGTTTGGCGCACGCATGAATGAAGGACCGAATGAATTCGGTCCCTTTAATTCCCTTAGATGGAGAAAAGACTACTATGCCCTCAATTTAAAATATATTTGCTTAAGAAAAGATTAGGGATAGTTTAGGTATTTCTAAACTTCTAGAATTTTCTCTCCTAAAATAAACAAAATTAACTATAAGTTCTTATACCAAATCGTTTAGAATTTTGCGTAGAATTATATAAAATTATTTCCGTCGAAATCCGTTAACTTTGAATTTTTCACTTAAATTTCATCGCGATGCGTCGAAATGTGTGCGACGGCTACGATAGTAAAATTTTGGGTTTACACTCGGCATCATCACTTTTGATTCCCACCCATAAAATGGAATGTAGTTTGTTTAGGAGATATGTTTTTATGGTCTTCGTTAAGCTTGTGGAGTGACTTTTTTTTTTTTTATGCCCGTCAGTTGTTTACTCGTCTAGCTAATGTAGCAATAGTAAAATTTTCAACCATCTGTTTTAAATTATATTGTTGCTTGTTCTGAGAAGCACTGAATGTTAAGACAACTTATGTGAATGAATGCTTTGTGTTTGTTAATTAATGAATCCTTTTTTTAGTTCAATCATAAGAGGCGATTGATAAAACGGACTCTAATATATAAGCCTCTAACAACAACAACAACAACAACATCAAGCCTTTATACCACTACGTGGGGTCGGCTACATGAATCCTTTTTCTCCATTGTGTCCTATTAAAAGTCAAATTTTCGTTTAAATCTAATAAAGAAAGGTCATTCCTAATATTTTCTAACCAAGTCTTTTTAGGTCCACCCCTATCTTTCTTAACATAAGTCAAATCTAGTACCTCTACTCTCCTAACCGGGTCATCACAAGGCCGCCGTTTTATGTGACCAAACCATCAAAGG